TCGCAATTAGCCAGTCAAAAACATGTGTTGTTGATTTTCAAAGTCGTTTATGATTCGAATAAAGAATCAGTAACTAAAATTATATATATATATATATTTACATGTAGTCTTTGTGATGATCAACAAGTGAAATAAAAAAAGTTGAAACAGACAAAATTAAGCAAAACCAAGGCACCTACATGAAAGTTTGAAAAATATTTACCGTAAAATCTTCATAAAACAAACAAATGCTGTTATCTGCGGTCTTTGCTGTGATATAGCCACCTAAGTATTATATGTCTAAGCCGCTGTCTCTCCCAGTATGTGATATCCGCAATAACCGCACTAAATTGAATAAGGATCAAAATTGAAAGCATGTCAGCGGATATAGGCAATTGTTTTTGTGGAAACACTTTGTGGAGAAGTCGGGGTCTATCGCCGTCCTTTTATTTTGATAATAACGGGATTGCTTCGATGTTGCCACCATATTACTACATTTTTAGCCGATTGCTAAAAGAAAAGTAGAATATTATGTACATACATTGTATGTATTGTACATACGGATGTCTGGGTTTGGCATTAAAAAGTTTTAGAAAATTATTTCCAGGTTTAAACAAAACATAGTAAAGCAGATGATATTTTTTTTTATACGACTTAGAATGGCAAACAAGCTGACGGCCCACCTGATGGAAAATGGTAACCGTCGCCTATAGACATGAGCAGTACCATGGACATAACAGAGTATACTGTTTCGCCCATGATACCCCCCATGCGTTGCTATTCCTGAGGACTCAGATGTTATTCCTCTGTACCCTGTAAATTCACGCCACATCCCACCCTTCAAACCGAAACACAGCCATGCAAAAATATTTTAAACAGTAGTAGGTAGTAAAAATGGCCTAAGAGTAGTTTGAATTGCGAAGGTAGGTGTCTCGTTATAGGGTTTTATTTCGAGTTCTTTTTTCACATGTGTGTGTGTCATGCTTTGTTTAGTCAGTCGCTACTTATACTAAGGAGTGTCGACATGCTATATTTTTACCGCGTTACCACACGGCGGTATCAAAGGCGACAAAGGCCATGTGATGTATGCCCGTGTCACCATTAATATCGGTAGGTGATGGTTCCTATTTTCTGTAATTTTAATAGTTTGCTATCAGCATTAAAAAAGTCAATAACAACAAACCGATTTAAAGAATAAAAACATACTATATTCATATAGCTATCAAGTAGATAGGTCTACATTGACTGATCTGGGATTCGATTTGAACAGGCGGCGACATTCCATCGGATATTGGATTCTACGGTTTGTTTTATCACATACTTTTCAATGAGAGCTTTTATAAATCACCCACGTTGTACGGTACGTTTAAGTCGCTACGATGTTTGAATTGATTGGATATGTACTGAATGTGTTTGCTTAGTAAAATATCTCATCCCAATTTCATACCAATTATCTGGACGAGTGGCGGTACTCCACTGTGCGTTTTTCAAAGCACTTTCTTCCACGCACAACCACTCTTTGGAATCAACTTCCAGCAGTAGTATTTCCGAACCGATACGACAACATAACCTTCAAGAAAAGAGCATATTCCTTTTAAAAGGCCGGCAGCACACCTTCAATGCCGTTAGTGTTGTGGGTGATCATGGGCAGTGATAGTCACTTACCACCAAGTGAGCCGCATGCTCGTTTGCCCTCTGTTGTAAAAAAAATATTACATTTTTTATATAAGATTTATACTTTTATATAATTGATTTAATAAGTAAAAAATTAATAAATATGAACCATTATCATCATTATATCAGTCGTTAACTGTCCATTGTTGAGATTTGGCCTTCCCCATAAAGAAGGATTTGCCAGTATTTGCCACGCTTGGATGGCGGATTGACAACCACAGTTACGCTTTCGCTGTTGTCTATTCCTCCACTATTAAGTTCACATAGACGCCTTTTACAACACCCAAGGGAAAGGAAGTGATGGCTCATTTTATGTAGGGATCACATGGCAAAGAATATGAATAAGTACGGAATTTATATTACGTTATGTAAAAATAAAAAGAAATATTTTTCATACTAAATGTATTATGTGATCACAGAATTTGTATGGAAAGTTAAAATGATATACTTTCAAAGTATTTCTTATATATTCCTAGTAGAAAATGTTTCTACTAGGTATACATACTGATATTTAATACAATGAGAGCTCCCCAGTAGCTTACAATGTAAGAGATGACAAAGTTAGGGGTATCAAAGTTTACTAACAAAGTCTCATATGATAAACTGTGTGGTAGAGTATGTATCAACCTAGTTTCTCTTAATACTTCCTACTTATTTTCCAATATCTAATACGCTCACGATTCATCCTAATTAAACAAATAAATGAATTCAAAATAGCAAATAAGTTAATGAAAAATGGTGTGTAGTACTATAGATATTGTGACACCTCTCGTTCTTTACTACCCATATGCTGTCATTCTCGAGGTTTTCACTGACAGTTCTTCAGGAAACACTCTTTAATAATAAATTCAAAATAGGTACTTACATAGGGATAGTATATCAGTATAAATTATAAACCAAAATTAAATTGAACTTTTAGTTATATATTATATATTCTCAGGTTATGGAGTGAGCTCCCTGCCTAGGTTTTCCTAAGAGACTACAGTAGCGTGTTTACGTGCGCGTAATACCCCTGGTGTTGCAGGCGTTCATAGGCTACGGTAACCGCTTACCATCAGGTGGGCCGTATGCTTGTTTACCACTTTAGTAGTATAAAAAAAATATAAATGTAAAAATTGCATTCAATCTGGTCAAATACATTTGCGTAAAACCGGTACAAAAATATGGGCAAGTCGATAATAGTTCTAAAAATTACTTTTGTTTGGCTTATATAGCTCTAATTAAAACCACTCATATAAATTTTTATTAAATATTTCCTATATACATCGTCTAGTTACAATTTTATCATATTAGTAAGAGTAAGATAAGATGTGGATTTTTAGAGACCGTAAGTGGCGTTGTGATAAATAGAATAACATAACGAAAACCAAAGCGATAGTTCGCTCACATAATTCTCACTTCGAACCGAAATGTAGGGTTGAAAAGAAAAATGGCGAGTCCAAATTCGTCGAAACCTATACATTTTGTTGAAAGAGTGATTGGCAGAGAGAAATGACCGGCCCTCCCGATGGATTGAGAATGTATTACATTCACAATTTTTGTAACGCAAAAATTTCAAATTCAGTCGTCGATTCAACCCGATTATTGTGTTTATTTATAGAATCAAAATTGCTTTGAGACTATGGGAATTGGTGAGTCTTGATAGTTCAGATTTATGGACACATACTGAGATTTACGACTTAAAAAATTACAGGCCTTTTGGTGAAAAAAGAAAGATTGGTCCACAGAATTCTTTTGATGTAAAATTAAAGGTGGACAAAAAATAAAGACATGAAAGGAGAAAATTATCGAGTCGACAGCTTGTCAGTAAAAAAATGAATATTTTGACATTATTTAGGTAATAAGTTGTAAAGTTAATATTAAATTGAATTCTTGTAACAGAACACTCATTTCTTATTTTCCGACAAAAATGACAAGAAGCCGTGAGCAAAGCCAAAGATATACATTGAAGGTTTCATGCCTAATTTTATACTTAAAGTGGTTCAATTGTAAATTGGAATGATAATATTATGAATAGCAGTTCTGTTTTCGATGCAAAGTTAGCTGTCACAAAGCTTCTTTGTCGACTTGGGAGGTAACTTCATCAGATGCAACGTGATTTACAATTCAGATAGGTTCAGTGGAAAAATCTCATCACGAACTGAACATTATAAATATGTCTGTGAACTGTTTTTGTCTCACTCCTTTCTTTTGTATAAATTTTTAAATTGGAAGTTATTCGGTGAATATAAGTATTTAAGTATTTTTTATTTTTATACACAGTTTGAGATCTATATTTATAACGGAAGATGATTTATCATACTAAATTATTACGCAACTATTTAAATACATGTTAAATATATTTAACATATTATTAAATAAATATGCATGACTCGATAGATTTTAATTTCATGTCGGATTCGATTTAAAGTTATTAAATAAAAAAGTTGTTATCTAAAAATAGTTTAGAGAATTGATAAAAAAACGATTATGCCTAGTATAAATTGATAATGTTTTCTGTGAGAGTGGTTTTAATATTAATAAATTACTTTTGTAATATTTTGTTTTTATGCAACTCAGAATGGCAAACAAGCTGACCACCTATCTGATGGAAAGTGGTAATCGTTACCTATAGACATGAGCAGTACCATGGACATAACAGAATATTCTGTAAATTGTAACACGCTTAGATTCCTTGCAAATTGATATAGGTCTCTCTGATATTCTACATTTGTCTCTATGTCCATAACCCGCAGTCTAGTTTATAATGATGGATCAATTAATTTTAAGGACATAAGGTATTTTTTAATAACTTATGTGGACAAAGTCACGGCTAGTGCTAGTAGTATACGAATAATTTTCTTGGTCATGAACCTTGAACAGGTTTCTTCTGTTCTTATTCATGTCATGTATTCGCACGTCATGAATATAGAGTATAGTTGGATCAGATTTAATATGTACGTGGGTTGGATTTAGGTATTTTTCAAAGGGACGGTGGTTTAGATGTTTCATGTTGTATATTTTATTCAAGAAAAAAGTCGATTCAATATTTGAAAAAAAAAAGCACTCAGATTATTGAAATTCTCGTTTATAAGACATTAAAATAGTTGTACGGTTAGAATTGTCCAGTGCTGAATATAGGCCTTCCCCGTAAACATTGGGGAGTTTGCCAGTAGTTCCAATGTTTAGCAACTGCAATTAGGCTTTAGTTATAGGTCAAGAGGGATGCTGGCGCTGCCTATTCTTCGACTATTAGTTCTCTTAGTCGCCTTTAACGACTCATGGAAGTTACGTACGGGTAAGGAAAAGGCCCTTCATATGCCGTGTCCACATAGCATGGCAGTATATATTTAAAGAAAACAATAAAATAGTTATTTCATTTAAAAATATAATGATCGTTTGATAACGAAGATGCAATAATTGTGTTACAAATGGTGTTGTTATAAAGCAACACTTCAAACTGATCATTGTTCATAAATAAACATTAGCGAATAATTTATTAATTAAATTATTATTAATAATTTATAAATTAAAAATAGAAATAAATAAAATTTTTGTAAATAATGATTACAAAAGTATTTTTAAAATTGGTGAAGATATCATAACATTTTAGTTATTATACAAATTATGTACATACAAAATTGTTCATTTTAATAATAATAAAAAAAAAACAGAACAAATATATTCTGATTTTAAAAATAATAAAACGGATATTTATGTTTTTCGTTATCGCTGTTTAATAACGAAAAACAAATATTCCGATGCGTTGTAACGACGACAAATATTACTCACGTTTTGTTTGTCATCATTACCACGTTTAAATATTAGTACGTGTAGGTATTATATTTTATGTTTGTACTATAGACTTATCTCTGAATGCACTTTGAATGTTCTAATTATATTTTTCCATACATCTATTATTTGTACAATGTAATGTAAATAAAAGTATTAGCTTAATAAATAATAATTTTTTAAAATATTTCATCAAGTATCTTTATGATACATTATATTCTATTAAAATTTACTGATAGCCCAAAAACAGTGGACAAATGATTAGACGTCTTTAAAAATAAAATTAAAAGGTCCAGAAGCGTAGTTCAATGATGAATTCTTTATGTTAAGCGGTGGTCCGAACCATTCCACTTTAAAGTTTTGTACCAGCCTTGCTATGAATGTTTCTATCTTCAACTCGGCGATGCGACGTCCTGAAACCACGAAGTAAATTATTTACGATAAATATTTTTTTTTTAAAGGTGATAATGGTATGGTAACTCCGCCTGCGCTAACGGGATACGCTGGCGAAGCACCATAGAAGGGTGATCGATGAGAATGAAAACAGGACAGTTAGCCCATCATGATGAATTCATCAGGAATTAACCATGATAGTTTCCAGCGCAAAAACAGGGGAACCGCGAGGAGGTCGACCTGGTTGGGTATATTGCTAGTTTTGCAATGGGATTTTCAGTCTCCATTACTAACAATCCCTTTTCCCCCTACGATAAATATTAATGGGTGTATTTTTTTTAAAAGTCATCTGAGCCTCCCCCATAAGGGAGGTTATGTTAGTAGTTGATAAGCTTAACAGGCGGGTTGGTAACCGCAGTTTGATTTTTGGTGATGTTTTAAGAGGGATGTTGCTGCTTATACCTCGACCATGATGTTGTTAGGTTGTTAGGTTAGGTCATAGGCCATAATCCATCAAAATTCATAATAAATTATTTATGATGAATTTTAATGGATTTGGATGTATGCCCAATAGATATTAGTCTTTGTGTGCATTGGTTATTTCATGCAAGTATTTGACACTAGCTGTATCTCGTGGTTTCACCCACGTGAATCAATATATAAAGTATTTTTGCATGAAAGAGTAACAAGCATCAATCCATCCAACGTTATAAACTTTCACATTTATAATATTAATAGAATTTCGTTTATTTGACTATATATGCACGCTAATTTGTTTGATGATTGATTTTGATAAACTGGAATGAACATCTGGGATATAAACGATTCGTTATTTTTATTTAATATTAGCAATACGTCAGTATATTTTATTGAGTTCTTTATATAATTAAATTAAGAATATAATCCTCAAATAATTTATTTCACATGTATTTTTTATTAAAAGTCAAAAGAAAGATACGGAGGCGTTATCTCCGTAGTACATTCGGGTAATGAGGCAAACTCGAAGTTTACACCTGTACCACGATAGGGACAGGAGTAGATCCTGTATGAAGATAATACGCAGTGGTTGCGGCGCGTATTCTTTAGATTCGAAACACTGTTTAAGTCTTATTTAAATCTTGTTATATTTTTAGCTCAAGAAAGTTTTGAAGGGTGGAATATGGCAGTGAATTTACAGGGTACAAAGGAATAACACCTGAGTCCTCAGGAATGGCAACGCATGGGGAGTATAATGGGCGAGAAACAGTATACTTATAGTTATGTCCATGGTACTGTTTATGTCTATAGGCGACGATTACTATTTTCCATCAGGTGGGCCGTCAGCTTGTTTGCCATTCTAAGTTATATAAAAAAAATATTAAATCACTCGTTTTTACTTATGATGTCACCTCATAATTTTAATACATGCTTTGTGCGTACCCATTAATACTATTTACTATTAGAAATGAGGATGTCCTTTCCATGCTTAATTAGAACACGTATATAAAATTTCATAATGATTGGTTAAGCCATAAAAGCGCCAAGAGATAATTAAGAAATTTTATCACACATATTTATCTTTATTTATCCTTAATATTTAATCCTCATTTAGGATTAACCTATTTATGCCCAAATTTAATTCAAATCCGTTCAGTAGTTTTTGTGTGAAAAAGTAACAAATATCGGTCTATACATATATCCATATAAAATTTCGCGTAAAGGTGTAATAATGCTAGGATTAGAAAGGATTTATACCTATACATCCGCGAACACCAAATCCGAATGGGCTGGTGGTGAATGGATGAGCATTACCGTAGTACAAAGGATCTTCTTTCCCTACAAGCCATCTCTCTGGGATGAACTCCTTGGGTCTAGGGTAGTAAGTTTCCATTGAAGACATAATTTCATGAGCGAACGTGACAAACATCTGTAAGGATAGAATTTCGATGAAATGTCATCAAAAATGAAGCTTTCGTTAATAATATATATTTCCAATCAACAACAAAAAGAAGGCGGTTCATTCGTCATATTTTTTTGTATTTAGAATTTTATAACTTCATCACCTCTAAACTAATTTGGAAAATACTTTTTTACCCTGGAAAAATATACTTACAGATATTCGCTCCATAGAAATTTTATCAGTAGTTTAGTTTTTAGATCAATATAACTGTTTTTTTTTTCATATATATATATATATATTCAGATCGAAAAAGAAATGCAATTTTAGTCTTGATAAAATTATTATGAGACTAATACAGGAGAAAAAATTATCAATTGGAAATAATTAATATAGAATTGACCGGAAATATCTTCAAAAGAAAAATAGACAAAATGAAAACCTTTTTGAAGCCGCTTAATTAATAACACTAAATAATGTTTATTACTTACACCTTTAGGTATGTTATAACCCAACACATTATATTCCTTGGTCGTTTTTCTCAAATTTCCAGATACGACTGGCATTAACCTCATAGATTCCTTAATGCAAGCTTTTAAGTACGGCCTTGTCTCATGTTGTGACCTTATTTCTTCTCTCAATTTATCCTGCTTTTCAGGATTTGATGCGAGTAAATAAAGCATAAAGAGAACTGAGTTGCCAGTCTAAAAAATAAAAAAAATATCTAAAATCAAATATCAATTGCAATATTTTTTTTTATGCAATTTAAAATGGCAATTTAACTGACAGTTCAACTAATGAAAAGTGGTAACCGTCGCCTATAGACATGAACAGTATTATGGGCGTAACAGAATATATTGTTTCGCTCATGATACCCCCCTTGCGTTGCCATTTCTAAGGACTAAGGTGTTATGTTTCTGTACCCTGTAAATTCACTGCCATATCCCACTTATATATAGGGTATTTTCAATAATGAACAATTAATTACTAAAATAACGATGATGATACCTACCGTATCTACACCAGCAAATAACATGTCACATGCCATAATATGTGCGACAGTTTCGTCTATTTCAAGTAGTTTCTCTAGGACGCCTCTTTCTTCATCTGCATTGGCATTCTTCGTTTTAAGTTTTTTTATCGCTTCATCCACAAAGTATTTGGTCAAACTAAAATAAATACATGATTAACACATATTTTCGTATGATTATTTTCTTTTATTACGAAAATCTCTGACATAGATCTAATAAATGATTCACATGATTAAATATAAAAAAATTAACAACCGCTTTAAAAGCATACTCATAAATAACATACTATTATATTTAATTCAGTAAATTTTCTCACAGTTTGGCAGTATTTTGTTGAAATTTTTAAATAATTGTTTATATATGTGCAAATTTTACACACTTGCTTACTTTTCTTGATCTTCATATACTTTCATTGCTCTCTTGAAGATAGGCGTTGAGATGTATCTCCAAAGACTTGGTTTGAAATCTAATGCTTCGGATACTGTAAAGAAATCGTGAACAACGTTAATGAGTTTCCTTGCAGGCGAGTTTTCTGGTAAATTTGGATCTAAGCAGTTAAGGCGATCTCCCAGTGCAACGACTCCGATAGATTCCAATGACCATAAATTTATTTCGACGTCTAATTTACTTTTAATTGTATTGTCTTCTCCACGTAATGATTTTAATCTAAAATAATTAAAATAATAATAATTGTAAAACATGTTTTATATATCAATTAATTTGTATTTATGTTCATTATGTAGAAGATGGTGAAATGCTGATGTTCATTATGATGCTTTATCTTGTAATCGTTGTTTATTTTAATGAAATGAAGTTTAATGAAGTACCAAACCTGGTAATCATATCTTGCGCAACTTCATCGAGGGTCTCACTGTACAGTTTTATAGTCTTTGGTTGCAGCATAGCAGGATTGACCATAGATCTAAACTTCTTCCATTTTTCTCCATGACTGAAAAAATATATCATACCTATTCTATATCTTGAAATTAAAACATGAGAAACAAATATATACACGGTTTCTTTTTAAAATCATGATATGAAGATTATTTTTAAAAGTGTAATTACTCAGTCAGGAGTCCAGCTAACTCAGATTTGTTTTTCTTGTAAGAATTCCTGTAATACTGTAGTGATAAAAATCCTGGTCTTTCTGGCATCCAGTTTTCTCCTCGAAGAATCTGAAATGAATACGATATTTGACTATCTGAATAAAAAAAAGTTCGAAGTAGAGCCATCCTCTTTCTTCTGTGGGTGTCGTACAATAAAACTAATGGAACAATATAAATTGAAAATATTTAAGAATAAAAAATGCTAGGAAATTGATGTGTGCAAGTGGTATTAATGATGGTGCTATTCCAAGTGCCGTACATGAGTGAGGTTCTATGTTCTAAGGTGGATAGTAAATGACTGAAATGTTAATTAGTAGTTATTTGTGAACTCACTTGTGCGCTACTTTCTGCGTCAAAAAGAATTATAAGTGGTGGAGCACCAAATAGAGGATCGAATCTAGTTATAGGGCCATAAGTTTTGTTCATTTTTGTCATGAATTCCATTGATGATAGATTGTACAAGAAGCCTGAACAAAAAGAACAATCCTTATTAAATTAATAGTAAATATCTAGTAAACATAGTAAACTTCGTCTGCAGACTTCGGTTGCAAATCATTGTAAAGGAACGTGCTATCAGTACCCCATCTGTATACTGTATACTGATTTATGAAAACTGTAAAAATATTTATATAATCAATTGTATATTAATTAGAGAATTTAAGAAAAACATTTGTATGTATTTACATTTTTATAGAAAATGTACTCTAATTATTTATTTTATTATTAAAAAGTTTCTTTATTGACAAAACTTTTGTCATTATTTTGGATGAAAATAAGACTTTGATTAAAAAAAAAAGAAGTTTTACACTAAGAGACAAGACTAAGGAAAAAAAAACATTAAAGAAAATTAATAATATTAATAAACTAAAGTAGTACTTCATTACAGTTAAAATAATATATATTGTTAAATACCTCCAGGTAGTAAATGGTGAAGTTGGCCAATAATGGGCAACGATGGTAGTGATGGTATTTCCCGCCATGGTTTACCCTGAGGTATTGTCTCCTCAGTTTCTTTTACCACAGTATTGTTAACAGTTATATTCCTGCAAAAGGTTCATGCAAATGTTATTTATATTTTATCACAATATTCTTTCAGATAATTAATAACTGATAACTTATTATTGTTGATTATTAATATAAAAAATTGATATACTGTAAATGTAAAGAATCATAGTTATCAGATATTTTTTATGATATCTAGAATGGCAAGTAAGTTGATAACCAACCGGTTGGTAATGGTAATTGTCGCCAATAGACATAAACATCACTATGATACCATCATTGAATGTACTGTGATATCTGTGGCCCCCTTCATGTATAGCCATTTTTGTGGACTTTAGTGTTGTTTCCACAACATGTTATTTCTGTAGAAGGTCACAGTGGAAATAAAAATGTGTTATATTTGCAAATATATTTTGTATGTACAGACACAAGACAAGCATTTGAATAGAAACAAAATACGTATAATATAATGTCAATAATTTCAGTGTCATATCCCACCCTTCAAACCGGAACATACTTGCTTCAACCAACAGATGATCTTTGTAAAAAGTCTGCTTTGAAGTTTCTGTTTGTATTTACAATACTTGAAGCAATAATAATAATATAGGCAGTTTTAAACATGTTAATATCATTTGCGATTGATATACATCAATTTTTAAAATAGTAATAATTTAAGATTTTGGTTTGGTTTGATTGATTACAGAGTTACAAAAATCATTGAAGTAATCTTTATTGATTTGGGAAATAAATTAATAAAAACAATTACAACTGGCTAAGTTATTGCAAAACAAACATACAAAAAGTACAAACGATTTGATATTATCCTTCTTTTTATCTCTTTAAAAGACTACAATATGTGAAATCGCAGGTACTGTTCTAAATCTGTTAGTTAAAGATATGGGTTATAGTTGATGAGTTAACAAGGTGCAAGGTGGTGTTAAACATAACGTTTAAGATTTCGTAATGCTTGCAAGATATTATGTCACATTGTGCAACTTAAATAAACAAATGCTATCTTATGAACTTTAAAAAATGAGAAGTAAATTAATATTATTTTTACACACAAAGTCTATTACCTACCTGGTAAAATTTTTGTTGATTAACAAACAAAACACCGGGCGTAACTTTGATGTTTGCATGTTGTTAGCTTTGGAGGAGTACTAGACTTTATCGTCACGATATTTTCCTGCTTGATATACACGTATTTATTATCAGGCTATCGTTATTATACGTATCGTTAGATATAGCTTGTATTTATTCGTATGGCATTATTTGTAATCCATTGCTAGATATTACCATAATTTTTTTTTAAATACATTCACGTTTAATATACCTTATATTTAATTTCTCTATTACAGAATTACTATTTAATTGTTTTATATGAGATCAGCGACGAATACAACTTTAGTAAGGCATTAGATAATGAACAGTTGTTCAATTGTTAAGATAAAACAATGAAGATACGATTTTTAATATGTGCATGCGCACGATTTTATCCTTTCATTAGTAATTTGGTTGTTTTATACAAATATTCACACTACATTCAAATCACAGAAATAGCACTGAACTATATTTTCCACAAACACACACATACACTACTATTGCAGACTTAATACTGAATTTAACAGCGTGCCTCTGAGTGGATACAGATGACTGACGAAGACCATCATCGAATTTACATTGTATATATTTCTCTCTCGCTCGTCGACCATCGTGCAGTAAACATTACATTTGAGTTCCGGCGTTAGAAGAATTTCGTCATACCTAATTGATTTATAATTACTTTGATCTTAAAATTTCAATAATTCTATAAGTTTAAGACACAATCTTTGGTATTTGATATATATTTTGAACCCTAGTGTATTAAAATAGGGACTTTTATACGAAAATATCTTTAACTGTAACGAAAAATACCGTCATAAAATTTTATGCAAGAAGTAGTGGTGTATTTTAATTTAAATGCATAAGCGACGCGTTATGCATGGCGCTTACGACATTCTTTCCGCGAACTCAGAAGATAATACTGCACTGCAAACCATTTTTGTAATACATGATAATGGAATAATATTTTAAATACACAATCCAGAACTAAACGCGACAAAAAAACTTTTGCAGGTAAATAGTTCATACATACATGCTTCTTTATTAAAATTTACTAATGGAGTAGTAACCATGTCTGTGCTAATGGTATAAGCTGGCGGGGCCCAGTGATGGGTAGGTGAGATGAAAAGGCAGGTCCGTTAGCCCACTAGTGTGATGAATACACCTGGAGTTCAGCACGATGTTTTCAGGGGGGACCACGTGGAGTTCGACCTGACAGACTACATTTGAATTAGAAGTAGATATACTAGTTTGGATTGAATATTGGCTTAATACTGATAAACTAATTTCTGAGTTCGAAAATTATATTAAGTCCCATGGATGTCGCAATTAAAATGATGGCATAGTAATATATGTAAAAAGGCACATTAAATGTTCTGTAGTTGAACCAATACTGGATGGAGGAAATCATTTGCTATTTAAAATGAACCAAATGTATATGTTATTGCTATTTATAGATCCGCATTTTATCAACACATAGATTCTTACCTCAATTCTGTTGAAAGTATTATTCGTCCAAAAAATAACCGAATAGCGGAATAAGTATTAAAAAAACAAAAAAAAAAATTAAAGAATCGATTATTAGGTGGTACGAAGTTCGCGGGCTCAGCTAGTCTCGTAATAAATATGTTTCATATTTTAATACAATAATAAAAACTGATTTTGAAGCTGCTGTTATATACCTTGAGAAAATAAATTTCTTATTCTTATTTATAAATTCTAATTCTGATACAAATGAAGCATTTGCTGATGCATTTGTTAAAATACTTTTCACGAATATCGATGACACCAAATCTTATCATGTATCCAGCAGAAAAAAAAAACTAGAAAAACTGTTTTTCGACCAAGCCAAGGCTTTCAGTACAGTTTCGATACTTAAGTTCCTAAAAAAACTGTCGTAAATTGGCGTGAGAAATAAAACCCTTATGATATTCAAAGGCATTTTAGTTAGCGCTGAGACTCTAGTAGTTTGTGGTACGTATCAAGGTAGCGTCTTCTCTTCAAGTCTTTTGTATTGTATATAAACGATTTGAGTAAATTAGAATTAGACAAAGGTACAGTTGTCAGTTATTCTGATGATACAGTCTTAATATTTCACGGAGAGACTTGAGAAAATGGTCACACATGCTGTCTCCCATTTCATGGAAACTGCTCATGCCAATCTACTATCTCTAAAGACACTCACGTACGATATCTGGGAGTAGTATTGGACTAGTAGTATAAATTGGTGTTCCCATATTGATCTTATTGCTTCGGGTACCAGGAAACTCATTTGGAGTATACAAAGTTGAGACATATTGCAGATTTTAATCTTTTATGTGCAGTATATTACTCATTAGCTCAATCCGTATTTGGGTATTATACTGCAATCTAGGGTGGTGCTTGCAAAACTTATATGATGCAATTAGACCGTGCTCAGAGATTAAAGTTAAAGGTGTTAAAGGTAATGATTTTTGTCTCTAAATATTTCCCACAAAATTACTATATGACAAATGCCAAATACTTATTATTAGACAATTGTATATCCTTCAAATAGTTTTAAAGCAGTACAATATAATTTTATATAATGATAATAGAAATAAACGTACCATAACTAATGTATGATTATTACTTGAATGCGGTACTAGTTTTGCAAGAAGACAACAAAATTCAATGTGCATAATTTTATATAACAAAATTAACAAAGAAATTAATATTCATTCTCTATCACACGTAATGTCAACAATATCAAAGAAAATGCATACTCTCTGAACATTAATAACATATACTCTTAACTGCAATAATAATAATAAATGGTACATCTTCATATTATTTCTAACGCTCGTTGGAATACGCAAACAATCCGTCATATCCGTTCTAAAAACTGTGCCCGTAAATTAATATGACCTTCAGCTGTCGTTAAGGCAATCTAAAATGCTTCTTATCGCCTTACATTACGGTCAATAACATAATATTATTATGTTTGTATATATATTTTATATATCACTTGATGTTTAGATAACTATCTGTGACTAATAATATTTTTTTGAATTGACGTATTCTGATATCTTTATCAATGCTTGGGACGAAGATACGCATTTAATAAATTTCACAACTATATTTAAAATTACACAGTTCGAGGAACCGATAATGGACGGGTAAGAATGGTTCTTGAGTGGCGACCCTGTAAGGGCAAATGTAGGACGACCCGACCGGCGGGTTGGCAACCGCAGTTAGGCTTTTAGAGATGTTTTAAGAGGGGCGCTGCTGCCCATCCCTCGCCCTCCCATTGTCGTTTCTTACGACACCCACGGGAAAGGAAGGGGTAATCCATTCTATGTCGGGGCACACATGGCAAAGAATGATATGGCAAAGATTCGTTAGTGCATTAATTGTTCTATCGGTATAGTCACAAATAGTAGCTCTATTTGAATGTTTTCAATTAAATTGAAGGTTTTATTTTGTATCGCCTGTTATCCACGGATTGCCCGTTTGAATATCGTCATGGACAATTTGTTCATTCAATGAAACATTTGTCAACTGACACGAAATTCAATGTTCATACAAATATTCGTTTTTAAATTTACCATAAATTCTATTTTCACAATTATATGTATCTATATATGTTTGTATTTATTCATAAAAATCGGTGCATTTGTTTTCACTAATTCTTAAAAACAAATTGATAAAAAGAAAGAAAAAGGAGAAGCATCTCATATATAGTCAGAAATAAGTCTTTACTTTCCATGATTTTATTATAGTATTCCATGTATAAATTTTTAATAAGATTATTCGAAATTAAACCTTAACAGCGAGACAGTTGTATAAACATGTAAGTCCTAAAATTAAAATGCTTATATGGTATACTATAGTACTAGGTCAAGTGTAATTCTTAAATAAATAAACACAAGCTCTATGCAAAAGATTTATTATGTTGAAAAAAGATATAAAAAAATCGAAGAAGATTAACAGTCTACGACCATCCGAGGAATTAATTTAATGAAAACTTGAAAATTTTTAAATAAAACTATAATCTTTTACAAACCAGAAGTAAGTGACAAATATGTATTGGATTAAGATGAAGAATATAAATTTTATTTGGGTTCATAATTTAAGTGATTTTTGAAAAATGAATTAGGTAGTTAAATTTGCTTAACAAATTGGAGTTACGTAAAATTATGTACTTATATAATAAATAAATTGCGTATATGTAGATATTAATTTTATAGAAATAATTCAAATTATGTATAAAAAAAAATAATTAAATACTGAAAAATTTTAACATTCAATAATTCGATACGATGGAAAAGAATTCGCAATGTTCTGCTATTCAGATCGAATATATTCTGGAGTGACCAAGCTATCAGAAGGTAAAATTTTTCATTTTAGTATATAGTATTTACAGATATCCCCTGCGTTTAGTAACGAATAATGAATTAAAAAATAGTATTTTTTAATATTATAATTAAATCTATGTTCACGACTATAATACCTAATGTGGTAGTTAAACGCATTTGTCTGCTGATGTGGTTGTAATGCATACGCGACATGCCCACATATATTATACCTATTTTTAAAATTTTACATAACTTGACAATCAAACATCCTTGAAAATAAAATTAAAGGGTGGCTGTGTATAGTTCAAGGAAGTCCTCTTGATCCTGAGCGGTGGTCCGAACCATTCAATTTTGAAGTTCTGTATCAGTCTAGCAAGGAATGTTTCTATTTCTAATTCCGCTATGCGACGACCTAAAATGACAGATAAAAAAGTAATTTAAATGTAATAATAATAATAATGGTGCATTAATAGCTTAACCAATTATACAAAAATTATAACCAATTATACAAAATAAATAATCATACCTATTTGACATGGTGAAGGACATTGACTCTACTTTATCTCGGTTAATTGTTATATTCCGGTTATGCAGACTAAGTTGCGTTAAAAACTTGTGTAATATAAAGTTTACAACAAAATTACCTATACAACTGCGAACACCAAATCCAAAAGGATTGTGGGCAAATGGATGCGCGTTTCCATAGTACAACGGGTCTTCTTTGCCTACAAGCCATCTCTCTGGGATGTACTCGTGGGATCTGGGATATTGATTTTCCAACTTGGACATCATTTCGTGTTGGAATACGATTAACGTCTGGAAATAGCGGATTTTGTTTAATTTATGTACAATAACGTGTTCAACATAATATTATCATTTTAGAATGCGATGGCCATAGAAGAAAAACATTTGTTGTTTTGTATATAAGAGAACCAGGTTCAATTTCCAGTTGAGCCAATTTAAGAAAAGAATTTTTTTAATTGTCTCGGACCTGGGTGTTCCAGTTTGTGCCCTCAGAGGTTCTTCAAATTCAGAGTATCGTAGCTTGAGGTTTAAGTGATTGGTATGATTATGCTTATTTACTATACTAATTATTATTATTAATATTAAAACTTATCTTACTAACATTTTTCGGTATGTTGTATCCCAATATATTATATTCCTTGGTAGTTTGCCTAGCATTTCCAGACACAACTGGTAACATTCTTAATGATTCTTTGATACAAGCCCTTAAGTAAGGTCTTTTCTCTTGTTGTGACATCAATTCTTCTCTGAGTTTTTCTTGTTTTTCTGGATTGATCGCTAGTAGATAAAGTGATGCTGTAATTGTATTTGAAGTCTAAAACAAAAATAATCGAAAATAGGATCAATACAAATTAACATATGTTTAAATAGTACAAATAGTATAAACAAATCTCATAGTAATCATCAGATTTCATTATTAATTCATGTAGAATTAATGTTAAAAAAATAATGACTTATTGCTGACCAAATAGTATCACTAAATCTATTCATTTGTACTATAAACTCCTATATAATTTATCTTACAGTAACTTACCGTATCCACTCCAGCAAATAACATGTCAGATGCCATTATGTGCGCAATTTTTTCATCTATTTCAAGTAGCTTTTCTAAGACACCTTTTTCTTCATCATTGGTTACGTTCTTGCTATTCAATTTCTCTATTGCTTTGCTCACAAAATATTTAGCCAAACTAGAAGTTAATAAAGCATATTATATTAATGATCTTATTTTCTGTAAATAGTATAAAATAAAGTTATTATCAGCATCTATGTTTTTCTGTTTATTACTTCTAAACCACGAAACGGCTTTTGATCCAGACCTTACTGTTATTTAGTTGGTTTAAAATATAGATACTATGGTATATAAATTTTTGCATTTACAACATATTACGTCGACTCCAAAATTTATATAATTGGGATAAGATAAGGTAGATGATAATGATGTACAAGTTTTTGCATTTCAAGATCTTTTAGAATATAACAGTTGCAAATGAAAACAATGTTTTGAAATGAAACAAAAATTGTGTTTTAGAGACACATTAACATTGAATATAAATTGAGATGTATGTGTAATGTCTTAATCAAAGATTTAAAAAGAGAGACTTACTTTTCTTGATCCTCATATACTTTCATTGCCCTTTTGAATGTTGGTGTAGAAAATAATCTCCAAAGGCTTGGTCTAAAATCCAATTCCTCAGCTAGTACAAAAACTTCGTGGACAACATTTATAAGTTTCCTTGCTGGTGAATCTTCGGGCAAATTCGGGTCGAAACAGTTGAGACGGTCTCCAAGTGCTATCACACCGACGGATTCTAATGACCATAAGTTCATTTCAACATCAAAACTTGTTTTGATCATATTGTCTTCACCTCGAACTGATTTAAGTCTAAAATTTTGATATCTTATGATAATAAGATAAAATAATAAATCTAAGGATTAATAGCTGTTTAATCGAAATGGGTAATAATGAAGCTAAAATAAAATATGTAACCTATTAATCATATCTCGAGCAACCTCGTCAAGAACAGAACTGTAAAGTTTAATTGTTTTTGGTTGCAGTAAAGCTGGGTTGACCTTTGATCTAAATTTTTTCCATTTTTCTCCATGGCTGAAAGTTAACAACGTAATTATTATCTTTTTTATTAAAGAAAAATATTAAGTAAGCACTTCAAACATCTACGGTAAATGTAGAAAAGATACTTTATCACTTACTCAGTTAGTAGTCCATAATGTTCAGATTTATTTTTTTTATAATTAGTCCTGTAATAGTCTAGAGACTCAAACCCTGGTCGTACTGGTAACCAGTTATCTCCATGAAGTATCTATAACATGACAGAATATTGAACGTGAATGCTATAGCACAAGATTTTATTAATGTAGGTTTTATTTTGTAGGTTTTCTTACTAACTTGAGCAGCGCTTTCGGGATCACCCAAAAATATTACTGGTGGTGTACCGAGCGTTTCTAATCGTCCGTACTTTAGGAACATTTTCTCCGCAAATTCGAATGATGTTGCATTGTGTAGTTCGCCTGGATAAACATTAATTACGTATTAAATCTAATTAAATAACAGTGTACCATATGCCGCATCGCCGTGTCTGTCTCAGCATAAAACGGGCCACCCCTTCCTTTCCTGTTGGTGTCGTAAGAGGTGACTAAAGGAACTTATGGTCAAGGGATGGGTAGCAGCGTTCCTCTGTCCGTCAGTTAGGTCTTTGGTGTTGTTCTAAATTACCAAAGGCAACTGAGGTTGCCAATCTACCCGCCAAGCGTGACTATTATTGACAAAACCCCCCAATGGTAAACATCACAAGGAAACGTCCCCCAGTCCACGCTAATGACGGAGCAGAAGGTGCTACGAATCACTGGCAAAGATTTTGCTATTAACCACAGAACATGAACTTTAAGTACTGATGAAAAGATTGTGGAGTTGGAAGAAGAGGTGTACTAGTTACACTGGGATATCATAGGAATATTTGAAGTTCGAAACAAGGGGAGGATACGATGATTTTTAAATCCGGTAACTTGTTGTATAATCGGGAGGGTGACCATCCGTCCCATGAAGGTGTCGGGTTGCAAATCCCTTGTATATCATCGTCCGCAAATCCCATGGTACTCAGAATTACCAAAAGGTATTCGGTAAAGGTTGTACAGGTATATGCGCCGATCGTGCCAATCTGATGATAAGGTGGAGGCAATGTATAAGAATATTATAAGAGCCATACATTTCTCTAATACTCAATACATAGTATTTATAGAGACTTTAACGCTAAGCTGGACGGCACAAGGAAAGATGCTAAGGCGAGAATGGAGAACTCTTTCTTCCAAAAAAATGGGCCTGGGTTAGCCCCGATGGATACACAAAAAATGTAATATTAAATTAAACTAATCGCTTCAATAAATATTTTTTTTTATTCAATAAATAATAAATATTTTAAGGTTTGAGACGAAGGTCTTTAATCTGTGCGTGTTGCTAGCGTTGACTTATGGAACTTAAACGTGGTCCTACACGATTGCCTGTATGCAAAACTTCAAATACTTGCTCAGTAGGCTATGGAGAGGTCTATGGTCGGTGTTTCTTTGCGTGATAGAATCCAAAACGAGGATATCCAAAAAAGAACCAAAGTAACCGACAGCCAGTCCTTATGGCAGTCTATGGGGGAGGCCTATGTTCAGCAGGAGACAGACAATGGCTACTATGATAGTGGCGATGATGATTTAAAACTACATGTATTTTTTTTTTATTTTAAGGCAGGTTTAAGAAATTGCAATTGACATTTTAATACTTTGTAAAGTTTAATAGCTCACGTTCAGAATCAAGGACGTCTAATTGTTCATCGTCTATTCATTCGTCTATGTCCAGCAGTGGATGGATAATAGTTAAAATGATGATGTACCATATGACTAAATTATATAGCGTTTTCAGGTACCATTCACTTGATAGATCAAAATTACTATAATGTTTTAAACGTTCTACTAATATACGAGTCACACTTCACAAGTGGACCTTGTTAGCTTACTATGATCACACTGGCCAGATGGCTCACTGCAGAGTTTTATTTTGAGTTTCTTTCTCTTGCAATACTGTATGATTTGTTTTTATGTCACCTTTTAAGACAGTTAAGGATGAAAAGACATATAATGCATTTTTGGTGTCATCAAAAAACATATAGATTATCCTTTAGTCTTAAAAAAATATCATAAGAAATTATAGATACTGGCTACTATGTTACGATTAGATACCTCCTGGAAGAAAATGATGCAAATGTCCTATAATAGGCAGAGAACTAGGTCCTGGTATTTCTTGCCATGACTTTCCTTGTATTGTTTTAATTGTTTCCTCTGTAACTTTTGCCGTCGCCGCACTATTTACGGCAGCATGTCTATAAATAAAAAAAAAAAAAAAAACATTTGATAAGAATATCTAATCTTCAATCGGATTATACTTGTTTATAAGTATATTCAAATCGTCACAGTTTTAGTGTTCCGCATCAAGGAGGTAAATCTCTTATGGTGCGATTTTTTCCGTCCGTACATCTGTCATCGCGACTTGTTTAAGTACGGAACTTTGGTGTATGAGTACAGCTCACACTTGTCTGATTTTTTATTTTGTTGCTGAGTTCGGATTGGAACATTGTTAATTATATCGTTTGTGGCATTGATTTATACTGAAAAGTCCTTGCCAGAAGTTTAATAACTTTGTTAACTTGCTGTTTTAAAAAAAAGAATACAACCGAATTGAGAATCTCCTTTGTTTTTAAATCGATTGACAATATGAAGTAAGTACAAATTGTTTTAGTTATATATATAATCTTTTCTCAATCACTAGGGTGTTGCTGCTTTATTAATTTTACGATATGATGTAAAATAAATTTACTTAAAAAAAAAAAAGGTTTACAATATCTAATAGGTTTTTTATAAGAATTATATTTTTATTATTCACATTTGATTAAATCTGGCAGCGTTACTTGAACGCCCACTATTCATTTATTAAAGATAGAATTCAAACTACTATTACATATTCACATCGTCAGTATTGTAATTTTTATTATATTTTTTTAAACGAGACAATTTGGCTTTCCGAACTTCGATGACAACAGGAAAAAGCGCATAAAAACAAGACTGTCTCGGATAAAACGGGACTTATGGTAACGTAACTACAATGTAACATACCTGATGAAGTTTTTGTTGACAGTCGTTAAATATGACACTGATTTTAATTTTGATGTCCGCATTATGATACCTTCGAAACAAGACTGAGCGTCAAGATAGTTGTTTTTTATCTGTTAGTTTGTATATTTATTTATGTTGAGTAGGTATATACTTAAATAATGACATTGATTCGTCATTGCCGTGATTTATCAAGTTTGGATAATATCTGCTTATTCGTATAAAATTGTAATAAGTTCAAATAACAAAAATTTACGAATAAAGGTATACAATGGTTTTACATCTATTACCTTACAACTTATTACAAAAATGACTTTGTGACCACTAAAATACAATTTTGTTTTGCAACTTACAATGGCAAACAAGCTGATGGCCCACCTGATAGGAAGTGGTAACCGTCGCCTATAGACATGAACAGTACCATGGACATGAGAGAGTATACCATGTCGCCCGTGATACTCTTATTGGTTGCTATCATTGAAGAAAAAAATTATATAACTGTATCCTGCAAATACAACAGATTCATGGTAGAAATAAGAAGCACGTAAGTATTCCAAGCAGACAACTTTTGTACAAAGTCTCTCTGTGGTAAAAAAAAATATATATATGAATGTATAACACCTCAGTCTTTAAGAATAACAATGTATTCATACATACATCTATAATTAAGATAAAGTAAATGCTGGGAATACCTTTAATAAGCATGTACATTAATATTGTATTTAATATGTGTTATAATGCAATATGCTGTTAGTGTTCTTTTGAATAAATAAATAAAATAAATAAATCGTGGCAAATCTAGTAATTTTGATTTAGAAATCAAATTACTGAAGCGATTGTAATAAAATTTCTATGGGAATATATGAGTATATCAGATAAAGAAATGTTATTTCCAAATTGGTTTAAAATGGTACTGCTCATGTCTATAGGCGACGGTTACCACTTTCCATCAGGTGGGCCGTCAGCTTGTTTGCTATTCTAAGTTGTATAAAAAAAAATGGTTTAAAAATAATAGAGTTCTAAGGTTTCCATACATCTATTATTTGGTTAGTGTAATATTTTATTTTTGCCTAATCAGTTAAATGAAAGTATGAACTAATAAATAATAATTTTTATTTTTAACATATTTCATCAAGTGACTTAATGATATATTCTATTAAAACTTACAGATAACGTAATAAGTGAACAAATAATTAGAGGTCTTTAAAAATAAAGTTAAAAGGTTCAGAAACGTAGTTCAATGATGTTGTTCTCTTTATGTTAAGCGGTGGTCCGAACCATTCCACTTTAAAGTTTTGTACCAGCCTTGCTATGAATGTTTCTATCTCCAACTCTGCGATGCGACGCCCTGAAACCACGAAGTAAATTGTTTATAATAAATTTTAATGGATGTATTTTTTTAAATCATAGCCGCCCCCTCCATAAGAGAGGTTATGTCAGTAGTTGCTACGCTTAATAGGCGGGTTGGCGTCCGCAGTTTAGTCTTTTGGTAATGTTTTGAGAGCGATGCTGCTGCCCGTTCCTCGACCATGAGTTTGCTTCGCCTCTTCCACATCTATATCGACATCCACAGGAAAGGAAGAGGTGACCTATTCTATATAGGTCCTACATGGCTGTCTCCATAGTACATTCGAGTAACTAATAAGCCAAACAAGCTTATATCTGTACCACGATAGTGACAGGGGTTGATTCTATCCTGAAGATAATACGTAGTGGTTGACGCACGTAATTTTTGGATTTGGAGAACTCTGTAATTTTTATTTAAAATTTGTAGTACTTTTAGCTTAAAAAAGGTAAATTAATTAGTTAATAATTATTTAACAACTCGTTTTTACTCATGACGTCGCCAGCATGACCGGGGGGAAAAATCCGTTAAGGCACCCAAAGGTAAAAAAAAAACAAAATTTTATGTCCTAAATAACGATATAATCTACTCATATAATAAATTCAATACAAATCTGTTTAGTAGTTTTTGTGTGAAAGAGTAACAAATATGGGTCTATACATACATTCACACCAACTTTCGCATTTAGGTGTAATAGTGCTAGGATTAGTAAGGATTTATACCTATACATCCGCGGGCACCAAAGCCGAATGGACTAGTGGTGAATGGATGAGCGTTCCCGTAATACAAGGGGTCTTCTTTCCCTACAAGCCATCTTTCTGGGATGTATTCCTTAGGTCTAGGGTAGTAAGCCTCCATTGTAGACATAAGCTCATGAGAGAACGCGACAAACATCTACAAGGATAGAATTTCGATAAAAATTAAAATATCATTAATAATGTTTATTTTTAACAGACTTTAAAAAGATGAAGGTTTTCGATTCGGTCGCAGATACTATTTTATGTTGGTTACCACATAATTCCGTCAGTTGTAAACCAATTTCGAAAATTATTTTTTATCTGAAATTATATACTTACAGATTAACCCCATAGAAATTTTACTACAATTGATTCAGTTTTTAGATAAAAATAATTGGTTTATTCATAATTGAAGTTGGCTTTTTCGTGGGACAAATCTTTATTTTTAACATAAATAAATATTCGGCTTGACAAAGAACAGCGAATTCTGTCATGATAAAATTATTATGAGACTTATCTGGGAGTAAGTTTTATCGATTAGAAAAAAAAATTCAAAATCGGTTTAGTATTATTTTGAAATATCTTTACAAAAATAGATGAATGGAAAACTTTCTTTTTGAAGCCATTTAATTAATAACAATACATAAAGTTTATTACTTACACCTTTAGGTATATTATAACCCAATACATTATATTCCTTGGTTGTTTTTCTCAAATTTCCTGCTACGACTGGCATTAATCTCATAGATTCCTTAATGCAAGCCTTTAAGTACGGCCTTTTCGCTTGTTGTGACATAATTTCTTCCCTCAATTTATCCTGCTTTTCAGGATTTGATGCGAGTAAATAAAGCGTCAATAGAACTGTGTTGCTGGTCTAAAACAAAAAAGAAAAAAAAATGTAAAAATCAAATAATAATTGCAATGAAAATTTATAAAGATGTGTAACGTATTTTAGAGAGCAAGTCATCGTCATTGTAGTAAAGTCATTAAACGTGTAAATAAAGAGTCAAGAATTCCAAAGTCATGCCAGAAGATATTTTATATCCAAATACATTTATGCTTCATCGCCACAATGTTAGAATGATCTTCATAAACAGCGAAGCTTCAAATGTGTTGGAGAGTATCACTGGATGAAGATATGTAGTAAATCGTTCTTATAGCAATTTATAGGGAAAGTCTATCTTCACTTTACGGGGTACAGAGGAATAACACCTGAGTCCTCAGGAATGGCAACGCATGGGGGTATCATGGGCGAAACAGTATACTCTGTTATGTCCATGGTACTGCTCATGTCTATAGGCGACATTTACTACTTTTCATCAGGTGGGCCGTCAGCTTGTTTGCCTTTCTAAGTTGTATAAAAAATTTTTTTAATCACTTGTCTTTACTCACGACGTCACCTGTATGACCGTGATATAATAGCCTGGCTGAATCGATGATGATGATGTTGATACTTACTGTATCTACACCAGCAAATAACATGTCACATGCCATTATATGAGCGACGGTTTCGTCTATTTCAAGTAGTTTCTCCAGGATGCCTCTTTCTTCATCTGCATTGGTATTCTTCGTTTTAAGTTTTTTTATTGCTTCATTCACAAAATATTTGGTCGTACTAAAATATATACATGATTAGCTTTCATTTATAGATATATTAGTATATTTTTTTATTAATTACGAAAAGGTTTCATTAACAAATATATTCACATGATACAATATAAAATTCTGAACTGCCACGTCCAAGGCTTATTGTAAATAACATATTACTATATTTAACTGTTACTCAGTTAAATATAGTAATAGTTTTCTCACAGTTTTGTGATATTTTGTAGTAATTTTTTTAGTAGTTATTTAGATGTGCAAATTTTACACACTTGCTTACTTTTCTTGATCTTCATACACTTTCATTGCTCTCTTGAACATAGGCGTTGAGAAGTATCTCCAAAGACTTGGTTTGAAATCTAATGCTTCGGATACTGTGAAGAAATCGTGAACAACTTTTATGAGTTTCCTTGCAGGGGAGCCTTCCGGTAAATTTGGATCTAAGCAGTTAAGGCGAACTCCCAGTGCAACGACTCCGATAGATTCCAATGACCATAAATTCATTTCGACGTCCAATTTATTTTTGATCGTATTATCCTCCCCACGTATTGATTTCATTCTAAAATAATTAAAATAATTATGACTGTAAAATATGTTCTGTACTTGTACATCAATTAATTTGTATTCATGTTCATTAAAATGGTGTAATGCTGATAGTAATTATAATGATCTTGTGATCGTTGTTTATTTTAATGTAATGAATATAACTTAATTAAATAATTATCAAACCTGGTAATCATATCTTGCGCAACTTCATCGAGGGTCTCACTGTACAATTTTATAGTCTTTGGTTGCAGCATAGCAGGATTGACCATAGATCTAAACTTTTTCCATTTTTCTCCATGACTGAAAAAATATATCTACTCTATATCTTGAAATTAAAACATGAGAAACAAATATTTACACGGTTTCTTTTTAAAACCATGATATGAAGATTATTTTTAAAAGTGTAATTACTCAGTCAGGAGTACTACTTTTCTTGTAAGAATTTCTGTAATACTGTAGTGATAAAAATCCTGGCCTTTCTGGCATCCAGTTTTCTCCTCGAAGAATCTGAAATGAATACGATATTTGGCTATCTCAATAAAAAAAAGTTCAAAGTAGAGTATACTATCCCCTTTATTCTGTATCTAAAGGAATTATTTTGAATTAAACATGCTGGGAAATAGATGGATGCAAGTGGTTTCAATAATAGTGCCATTCCTTGTACTGTTCATGAGTTAGGTGTCTGTACTAAGGTGGAGAAGGTGAAGTAAATGACTGAAATGATAACATAACTATATATGAACTCACTTGTGCACAACTTTCTGCGTCAAACAGAATTACAAGTGGCGGAGCACCAAATGGAGCACCGAATCTAGTTATAGGGCCATACATTTCGTTCATTTTTGTCATAAATTCCATTGGTGATAGATTGTACAAGAAGCCTGAACAAAAAGAACAATATTTATTAAAAAAATACTAAATATGTAGTAAATATAGTAAATTTCGTCTACATAGACTTTAGTTGTAAATCATTGTAAAGGTTGCTGTCAGTATCTCATGTGTATGTTACTACTTTATGAAAACCGTAAAAATATTTATGTACAAGTAATTGTATATTAATAATTTTAAGAAAAACATTTGTTTGTTTTTACTTTTTCAAATCTCTAATACAGACGATTTTATAGAAAGTGAACTCTAATTATTTTATTTCTTATTAAAAATTTCTGTACTTCTTCTTCTACTCTTTACTTGAAGAAAAGATATTTGATAGTAAAAGAGAAAAAATAAGGAAAAATCCATTTTAAGAAATTTAATTATACTAATAAAGAGGTGCTTCTTAATGGTCAAAATAATATTGTTAAATACCTCCGGGTAGTAAATGGTGAAGTTGGCCAATAATGGGCAACGATGGTAGTGACGGTATTTCCCGCCATGATTTACCCTGAGGTATTGTCTCCTCAGTTTCTTTTACCACCGTATTGTTAACAGTTATATTTCTGCAAAAAGTTCATGCAAATGATATTTATATTTTGTTACAATGTTTTACATAAACAGACATAAGACATCTTGTTTTTGGATTTAAATAAAAACAAAATACATGTCATATAAATAAAGATACAAAGAAATTTCAATAATTTTAGTGTCATATTCTACCCTTAAAACCGGTACATTTTCCCTTCAACCAATAGAAGACCTTTATAATAAGTCTGTTTTTATGATTTCATATTATTTTTCTTTTTGTCTTCTCAATAGACCAGAATGTGTAAAACGCAGGTACTGTTCTAAATGGGTACAAAAATATGGGTAAGTGTAACAAGGTGCTTATTATGTTTAATATTTTGCAATGCATGTGAGATATTATGTCAGTCTTATAAACAGTAAATGAGATTTTAAATTAATATAATTTTTATACACTTACAGTTTGTTACCTACTTGGCAAAATTTTTGTTGAATGACAAACAAAACACCGGGCGTAACTTTGATGTTTGCATGTTGTTAGCTTTGGTTTGATATACTCATTTTTATTCTTAGCCTTCCGTTACTATAGGTAACTTTTGCATATAAATTGCCTTTATTCGTAAAGCATTATTTTTAATTTTTTAATAGATATTATCGTCAAAACTGTTTATATACATAAACGTTTTAGGTACCTTCTATTCAAATTTGCTTATAGAGAATTAAAATTCAATCATACGGAATATAACTTACGACAAATACAACCTTAGTTAGACACTAGATAACAGTTGTTTAATAGTAATAATTAAGATATAACAATGACAATATGATTTTTAATATGTGCATGCGCACGATTTTATTCTGACATTAGTAATTTGGTTGTTTTATACAAATATTCACACTACATTCAAATCACAGAAATAGCACTAAACTATATTTACCGCAAACACACACATACACTATTGCGTCAGAGTTAATACTGACATCAGTTAATAACTGTGGGCCTTTGAGTCTGGACGCAGATGACAGGCGAAGTTCACCGTCGAATTTCAATTGTATATATTTTAAGCAAGGTATATGTGGGTATTTTATCTTGATTTTATTAAACGTTTTAGTTTTTTACCTAATACTGAGTACCTAATACTAGTAATATTGTGTGAAAAGACTTTAGAGTACTTTCATTATAGAAAAAGGTCTGAGATGCGCTTTAATTTAGAGATTGATAATAATTTAAATTTCATAATCTAAACAAGAGTTGAAAATTGAGGAATTTGAAATAATGAACCAAAATGCGTTGTCTGTATCGGTAAAACTCAATATATATGTAAAATAAAGGCTGCTGAATAGAAACAATATTTATTTATTTATTCGTTATTGGCCATATTACAAAAAAAAAGTTTGGTACAAAAGGTGGAACTAATACCATATAGCATTCTCTCCCAATCAACCCAGTCAATTTTGTAAAAGACTGTAAAAATATTCTATTGAAAGGTCAATAACGATATTTTTAAATTAGAAAAATCTAAGTCTTAATTTTTTTCATTGTTAACTTCATTTAATATGACTAAAGACATTGGGTATTAATAACATGCACTCTTGGCTATCATAAAAATAAATGGTACCACTTCAGTATTATTGCTAACGTTCATTGGAATCTACAAACAATTCATCGTATCCGTACTTATCATATATATATATATATATATATATATATATATATATATATATATATATATATATATATATATATATATATTACATATCACCTGATGTTTACATAGATCAGGTAGCCATCTATATGTGATTAATAATATATTTTTAATTGACGTATTCTGATATCTTTATTAATGTTCGACACAAAGATATGCATTTAATAAATTTTGCAACTATTAAAAGTATATAGCTCAAAGACTGACATTCAATGGGTCAAGTTTCTTGAGACACGACCCCATATGGGTAAATGCAGTGTATAAATATATATATATATATATATATATATATATATATATATATTTGTTCATTAAAATCGGTGCATGTGTTTTGATGAGGTGTCCAGACTAAGAAACCAATCGGTAAAAAGTAAGAAAAAAAAATTATGAAGAAATGTCTCTGCTTTCCATGAATTTATTATAGCATTTCCTGTATAAATATTCAATAATATTTTTTTTATTTTTTATTTTTTTTATATCACTGAGGTGGCAAACAAGCATACGGTCCACTTGATAGTAAGCGGTTATCGTAGCTTATAAACGCCTGCAATACCTGGGGTATTACGCGTGTTGTCGACCAAAAAGAAACCTCTTTACCCCCTTTTAAAGAATACCTTTACAGCGAGGCAGTTGTATAAAATTGTTAGTAATAAAATAATATATTTTTTATGCATATATGAATTTGTATGGTACTAGGTCAAGTGTAATTCTTTAATAAATAAAAACAAGTTTTATGCAAAGGATTTATTATGTTAAAATAGATTTAAAAAAAATTAAGAAGATTGAATTGATGATTGAAGATTGATAAACTGTTAGTACAAATAAAAATAAAATGTTTTACAAATAAGTAACAAATATGTATTGAATTAACATAAAACGTATAATTTTTAGATTCAGAATTAAAGTTATTGGTTCATTTTTGTGAAATAGATTTAGTAGTTGAAGTTGCTTAACAAGTTGGAATTACATAAAACTATGTACTTGTATAACAAATAAAATGCATATGTATAAAGACTGTAATATAGAAATAATTTAGATTATTTTAAAAAAAGCAATTAAATATTGAAAAAAAAATACCTTTTAATAATTCGACTGCTCGACCCGATGTTTAAAATGAAAAAAAAAAATAGTATTTTTTACGTTTTTATGCTATACAGATCGAGTATGTTATGGAGTGACCGAGCTATGAGAAATTAAAATTTTTCATTTTAGTATTTAGGATTCTAAAATGTCATTATAAAAATATTTTCTTATTTAAATAAAGTTGAGCAATATATAGTTATAATAGTATTGTTTAATATTATAAATTAAACTATGTTCATGACTATAATACTTAATGTGGTAGTCAAACGCATTTGCCTGCTGTAGTCGTTGTAATTAATACTTGAGATAATCACATTTCACCCATATCATACTTATTTTTAAAATGTTATATAAATTCACAATCACACATCTTTGAAAATAAAATTATAGGGTGGAAGCGTATAGTTCAAAGAAGTCCTCTTGATCCTAAGCGGTGGTCCGAACCATTCAATTTTAAAGTTTTGTATCAGTCTGGCAAGGAATGTTTCTATTTCTAGTTCCGCTATGCGACGACCTAAAATAACAGATAAAAAAGTAATTTAAATGTAATAATAATAATGGTGCATTAACAGCTTAACCAATCATCATGCAATTGGTATACAAGTACTAGCTATTTGACATGGAGAAGGACATTGACTCTACTTTATCTAGGTTAATGAATACGAGTATATTCCGGTTATGCAGACGAAATTCTCTCTAAAAGCTAGTGTAATATAAAGTATACAACAAACTTACCTATACAACTGCGAACACCAAATCCAAAAGGATTGTGGGCAAATGGATGCGCGTTTCCATAGTACAGCGGGTCTTCTTTGCCTACAAGCCATCTCTCCGGGATGTACTCGTGGGGTCTGGGAAAGTGAGTTTCCATCCTGGACATTATTTCGTGTTGGAACACGATTAACATCTGGAAATAGCGGATTTATTTAATTTATGTATAATAAAGTGTTCAACATAACATTATCATTTTAGAATACGTTGGTCATAAAAGGAGAATATTTGTTTTTTTTTTGTATATATGAGAACCGCGTTTAATTTCCAGTTGTGCCCTCAGATGTTCATGGCCTGGTTCTTTAAATTCAGGGTATACTTGCTTGAGGTTCAGGTGATTGGTATGATTATACTTACTTACAACATTAATTATTATTATTAATACTAAAACTTATCTTACTAACATTTTTCGGTATGGTGTACCCTAATATATTATAATCCTTGGTGGTTTTCCTAGCATTTCCAGACACAACTGGTAACATTCTTAGTGATTCCTTGATACAAGCCCTTAAGTAAGGTCTTTTCTCTTGTTGTGACTTCAATTCTTCTCTGAGTTTTCCTTGTTTTTCTGGATTGGTCGCTAGTAGATAAAGTATTGCTGTAATTGTATTTGAGGTCTAAAACAAAAATGATTGAAAATAGGATCAATCTAAATTAACATATGTTTTAATAGTACAAATAATATAAATTAATCTCATAGTCATCATCAGATTTCATTATAGATAGATGTAGATTTAATGTTAAAAAATAATTAATTAATGCTGACCGAATAGAATCACTACATCTATTCATTCTTACTTTGAACTACTATCTAATTTATTTTATAGTGTCTTACCGTATCCACTCCAGCAAATAACATGTCAGTTGCCATTACATGCGCAATGTTTTCATCTATTTCCAGTAGTTTTTCCAAGACACTTTTTTCTTCATCATTGGTTACGTTCTTGCTTTTAAATTTTTCCATTGTTTTGTTCACAAAATATTTAGCCAAACTAGAAATTTATAGAGTGTATATTAATGATCTTCTTTTCTCTTAATAGTATAAAATAAAGTCATCAGCGTCAATGTTTATCGACTACTACTTCTAAACCACACAGCAACACAGCTTTTGAACCGGATTTCACTATCATTTAAATATTTGTGTATGGAACGTTTGTATGTATTATTTGTACCAGTGAGAACCCAGAACGGGTGGCTACTTTAAAATATAGAAGGTAGTGTATAAGTTTATGTATTTACAATATATTACACCGACCCCAAAATTTATATAACTGGGATAAGAATAGGAAGATGTTAATGATCTACAAGTTCTTGTATTTCATGATCTTTTAGAATACAACAGTTGTAATTGAATGTAATATTTTGAAATGTAAAATTTTGTATATTAGAGACTCATTAACATTGAATATGAATTGTGATGTGATTTTGTTTGTATGTCTTAATCAAAGCTTTAAAAAAAGTGACTTACTCTTCTTGTTCCTCATATACTTTCATTGCCCTTTTAAATTTTGGCGTAGAAAATATTCTCCAAAGGTTTGGCCTAAAATCCAATTCCTCAGCTAGTATTAAAACTTCGTGGACAACATTTATAAGTTTCTTTGCTGGTGAATCTTCGGGCAAATTCGGGTCGAAACAGTTGAGTCGGTCTCCAAGTGCTATCACGCCGACGGATTCTAATGACCATAAATTCATTTCAACGTCAAAACTTGTTTTTATCATATTGTCTTCACCTCGAACAGACTTCAGTCTAAAATTTTTATATCTTGTGATAACTAGATAAAATAATAAATCTAAGGATTAATAGCTGTTTAACCGAAATGGGTTATAATGAAGCTAAAATAAAATATGTAACCTATTAATCATATCTCGAGCAACTTCGTCAAGAACAGAACTGTAAAGTTTGATTGTTTTTGGTTGCAGTAAGGCTGGGTTGACCTTTGATCTAAATTTTTTCCATTTTTCTCCATGGCTGAAAGCGAATAACATAATTATTATCTTCTTTTTATTAAAGGAAATAATTCAGTGAACACCACAGATATCAACGGTAAATATAGAAATGATACTTTGTCACTTACTCTGTTAGTAGTCCATAATGTTCAGATGATTTATTTTTTTTGTAATTAGTCCTGTAATAGTCTAGAGACTCAAACCCTGGTCGTATTGGTAACCAGTTATCTCCATGAAGTATCTATAACATGATAGAATACAGAACATGAATGCTATAGCACAAGATTTTAGTAATGTAGGTTTTATTTTCTAGGTTTTCTTACTAACTTGAGCAGTGCTTTCGGGATCTCCCAAAAATATCACTGGTGGTATACCGAGTGTTTCTAATCGTGTAATGGGCCCGTACTTTAGAATCATTTTCTTCGCAAATTCGAATGATGTTGCATTGTGTAGTTCACCTAGATAAACAATAATTACGTTTTTTATTGAATCTAATTAAATAACAGTGTACTCTATGATCAATTTTTATAGCGTTATCAGGTACCCTTCAGGGCACTTGATAGGTGCAATAAAGGTAGTTTAATTATTCTATCAAAATTACTATAATGCTCTAAATGTTCCACTTTTATTATAACATTTACTTTAATTATTGAGGATAAGAAAGAGTCATACAAAGAATTCTTGATATGTCATCAAAAAACATGGGGATTATCCTTTAGAAAAAAATCATATAAAACTATAAATGCTGGCTATAATATTACACACCTCCTGGAAGGAAATGATGCAATTGCCCTATAATAGGCAGGGAACTAGGTCCCGGTATTTCTTGCCATGACTTTCCTTGTATTGTTTTAATTGTTTCCTCTGTAACTTTTGCTGTCGCCGCACTGTTAACGGCAGCATTTCTATAAATAAAAAAAAAAATTAGGTAAGAATACCTAAATTTTAATCGGATATACTTGTTTATAAGTATATTCAAATCGTCACAATTTTAGTGTTCTGCACCAAGAAGGTAAAACCCTAGTGGTGCGGTATGTTCCGTTCGTCCATTTGTCATCGCGTCTTGTTTAAGTACAGAGCCTTGGTGTATATGAGTATAGTTCACACTTGACTGGTATTTTATTATGTTGCTGAGTTCGGATTGGTACATGGTCAATTATATCGTTTCTGGCATTGATTTGTACCGAAGAGTCCTTGCCAGAAGTTTAATTACTTTGTTAACTTGTTGTTTATTATGTATATTCGTGTGATATATGACGATAATTTATGGTTTTATTGCAAGAGGCTTTAAACCGGTTTACTATTTGGTGCAATAATAAAAACATCACATTGAATATAAAAAAAAAAAAATTAAATTTATACGTCTTACTTGCTCGAAAAAATGACTTTCAATTATATAAATTACGTAATTCAATATTAATTGACGTTGATGTTATATACAATTTAGGAGTGTACATAGGTAATAAGCATCGTTTCCACGTACATATTAATAACATAGTAACAAAAAGCTTTAAATTACTGGGTTTTTTATTTCGAAATTTTAAACAGTTAAAATTAACATTTAGTAAAATAACTGTGTTTAATACACCCATAAGTTCTGGTCCCGAATGTTGTTGTCATGTTTGAACCCCTTATTACATGATGCATAAAAACGTATTGAATCAATGCTGAAACGATTCCTATGGCTACTTATAGCGCTGGTATGGCTAAGAAGCTTGAAAGCTCTCTTTTAATGAACGTTTGAGTTACATAAAATGAAATAGTCTAGAAAATACGAGACAGTTACTTGACCATACTTTTTTCGATAAGCTTATAAATTGGACTGCCCTAAACTTTTAGAACAAGTCATTATATATACACCGCAGAAATTACCTTGTAGTAAATAATATGATCTATTTCCAAGAAAACTATTTAGGACTAATCTGGGATATTTTTCTACCATTAATGGAACGAATATTGTGGGAAAAAGTTTAGATATTGACATAGTTGTAAAATTCAATACATCTAAGTCTGCCCTTCTTATATAGATAAAATATCTCATTTTAATAAAAAAAAAGAATAGCCATTTCCTTTAATATGAAATAAATAAACATATATTCAATCATATCTATATATTTATGTACGTCATCTTTTTATGTTATTTTAGCTAAAATAAATAAATAATATCCTTTTGACCAATGGTTAAACTAACACTATTACCTGAACTATTAGCATGCGATAAAAACTGAAATTATAGTAAAAATCTTGTTGGTTGTTCTTATAAATAAATAAATATATTTGTGTAAACTTATGAAGAATAAAAAAATTATAAAACAAATCAAGTATTGTGGCAACTGCGAGATTCCTTTTAAATATTATAGGTAATAATACTATTTGTGATTTTACTTATTTAATAGTATTTAAACTGAATTTCAATAACAACAAATACAATATAATATTCATAACAAATATCTAAAAATAAAAATATAATTGTGCACTATGATATTTAAGAAATTTAAATAAGGAATATTTTAATATTTTTTTTTAAAAAGGATCTAATATCTAACAGGTTTTTTTATAAGAAATAAAATATAATTCTTATAAAGAAACTTATTAGATATTTTACCTTTGATTAAATTTGACAACGTTACTTGAATGTTTACTATTCATTTACTAAAGACAGAATTTATTCTACTATTACATATTTACATCGTTAGTATCTTTTTCTTAAAATGAGACAATTTAGCTTTTCGCAAGTTTACTTCAGGGACGACAGGAGAAAGCGCATAAAAACAAGACTGTCTCGGATAAAACGGGACGTGTGGTAACGTAACTACAATGTGACATACCTTATGAAGTTTTTGTTGACTTTCGTTAAATATGACACTGGTTTTAATTTTGATGTCCGCATTATGATACCTTCGAAACAAGACTGACCGTGACGATGGTTGTTTTTATCTATAAGTTTGTATATTTATTTAGTTACTCAATAGATTAGGCATATAATTATACTTAAATAATGTCAATGACTCGTCATTGCCCTAATTGATTTACTTCAGATAATATGTATTTAATGAAGGTATAGGACGGTTCGATCTATTAAGAAAATGGTTATATCAATTATCAATAGAATTACTATCATATTGTACCTTTAAACCTTTAAAAAATATATTTTATAATTTTATTTACTTCGTATTTTTTTTTAGATTTTCCTTGAAAATAAAATAAAAATGAACTCTATGTATAAATAAAGATACAGGTACAGGTACATAAAATTTAAAATTACAGGTCCAGTTTCATATAATTATATCATTCCTATTACAAATTTGTCATATTTTATTTAATTATAAATTCTAGAAAATAACAAGTATTCTATATAATAAAAAAATATTCATAAGTGATATTATTTTATAATAATAATAATTCAAAACGATAAATTATAATTAAATTAATAAATTTCAGAATTAGGGTATATTTTATATATAATATAATATATAATATACTCCTCGTCACTGTTGAAATCTCTCTCGACAAGCTAGTCTTTCAGTTTCTTAAAAATGAATTTAGACGGTCTGCAGTAGTTTTTTAACATTGGAGTGGTAACCCCGTCTGTGCTAATGGTATACGCTGGCGGGACAGCAGTGAATAATGATAGGTGAGATGAAAAGACAGGACAGTTAGTCTTTAGTGATGAATACGCTTGGGATTCAACAAGATGGTTTCCAGGAGGATCACGTGGAGGTCGACCTGATAGGGTATATTGCTAGCAATGAGACTGGTAATTCGCATTACTAACAAACCTTTACCCCCGGTAGTTACACAGTCAGGTATTTTATTGTACTAATATAGAACATGGTCTGAGACCTACGTTTTATTAGTACACAAATTTAATTCAAATCTGGTCAGAGTTTACGCGAGATTAATTAACAAACGATCAAATTTTATATTTATAATATTATAAACGACAGATTCGTGGAACTAAGTATAAAAAATACTTTTCACATTGTATACAGAAAAAAAGACAACCGGATGCACGATCTATCATAGTAAATACACAGGATTTGCCTTACAAATTGTCAGAAATTCGGGCTAATCTTCCCAACGGTAGTCCCAAAATCCCTTTTAATTTATCGATAGTATGTACAAGAGAGAGATAGGTAGATAGCAATAATAAATGTGTTTTCAGTACAACAGCACTTAATTACTTTGCAATGTTTATACTTATATTGTATAAATACTAACATAATGAAAGACAAATACATTGTTAATATTACTAGAAGGCGGAATAGTTCCGAAATTAAGCGTGCGGGAATTCCTGTATGAATAAACAATGTTCATGTTATTGTTTTTGTTTTGTTTCGTTTGATATTCGAAGTTGATCGAAATTATTACTAACATTATACATGTGAAAGTGTTTGTTTGTTACCTCTTACCGCTTTAACGGCTCGACCAATATTTATGAATATTATTTCGGTTAATTCATGTATTTTTCAGAAAAAAATCCAAATCGGTTCATTAACGACGGAGTTATGAGGTAACAAACATTAAAAACAATACAGTCGAATTGAGAATCTCCTTCTTTTTTTGAAGTCGGTAAAAAATGTTAAAATTATTGTAGAACATATGTCAACAAAAAATATAGTCAAATTTAGAATGTACTCGTAGTTATTTTCAAAGTTGGGTTAAAATTCTAAAGCGTTTCTTTTTCACAACTACATAAGTATTTTACTCCTAAAAATCTTTTCAACTTCCTTGCTTCGGCGATCGGGTAAGTACAATAAAAACTAAAATGGATTTTATTTTTTATATGATTTTATAGTAACTTTGTGTCGGTCTTTCAAATGTGCAAGGGTGCCATGCATGAATGATTCATGTACCGGCCAAGCTCAGAGTTCAGTGAACCATGAAGTGTCACAAGCAAATTATTTTCCGGTATCTGAATTACGAATATACTTTTTTTAGAAGAGGTTGATTGGTAGAGAAAGTTGTATTTTCAGCGCATATGCTATGTTATGGCAGTTGCGAAATTCTGGTCCAAATATATTTAGATTGATTATTGATTCGAAAGAAGAAGTGCATATGTTTTTTTTCAATTTTATATCTGATGTACTTACCTACCTAATATATCTATGTGTTTTAAATTTTAGAATTATTAAAAAATTCAAGGAGTCCCCATGGTTGTTTTATTAAATTTAATAATAACAGTTTTATACAAAAATATATAATAGGTTTTATTTTAAATATTTTTATATGAATAGGTCTATCTGTATGAATCTATCTTATGAAATCAAAAACAAAAATAATATTTTCCAACTATTTTTTACTATCAGAATCGTTGTAAAATAACTGGATGACATAATTGTTAATTTTAAACTTTCGCGTTGTTTACACATATTTTAAATACACAATAGGGACTTAGCGCGATGTGAAAGCCTTTACAGATAAATAGTACCTACATACCTGGTTCTTTATTGCCACGTCGTGGTCACGACAGGACATATTGTGATTACGACGTGGTACATTCCATGTCGAAACGTCGGCATACATCTTAGTCTTCAGATATGGCAACGCAAAGGATATTTGTTGGAGAAAGCTTAATAAAATAAAATATAACAGGAAAAAGACATCGGTCTTCAAGTTTTATTAGTAGACAGGATACAGACTGAGTATAGAGGAATAACATCTGAGTCCTCAGGAATGGCAACGCATGGGGGGTATCATGGGCGAAACAGTATACTCTGTTATGTCCATGGTAGTGCTCATGTCTATAGGCGACGGTTACCACTTTCAATCAGGTGGGCCGTTGGCTTGTTTGCCATTTTAAGTTGTATAAAAAAAAAGACAAGCGCACTACAATAGACTGTCAATAATAAAAAAAGAATTTTTATTTTTACCATTGAGGTTATCTACTCGAACAGTATCATGGGCGACATAGTGTATTCTGTTATGCTTATGCTTATTGTTCATGTCTATAAATGATGGTTACCACTTTTCATCAGGAGAGCCATCAATTTGTTTGCTATTGTAAATTGCTTAACAAGGGCATTTCAAATATTTTTTCTCTTGTACTATTCGTATTGTATTTTATTACCTTTGGTCGCCTCATAGGACACGTGGATAAAAAGGAAGGTTGATATATTGTATTCTTATTCCAACACCACTAGGAGTCATAAGTATTGCCTATATCTACACAAAAATGAATGGCCCGATAAATAGGGTGTGTAGACGTGAGCTAGGGATCGAGCAATAAATTCTACAATATAGAATGATATATAGAGGACAGTTATTGGTATGCTAAGCCTCTATAAATCGCTGTAACCGTTGGAAGAAACTAATTGTCTTAAAGTGGATTTAGATTAAAAAAATAAAGGATAAAGGATCAGAAATAAAACGTAACAACAAACAGAAGATGGAACTGATTAGGTTAAAAAATAAAAAAAAAAATAAGTTTAGTTAGTTTTTACTATAATAACAAATGTAAAGCAACTTATTTTTTCAACAACAACAGTTCGTCAAAGTGTATAGCAAAATTAATTAGCAATTATGTCACGTATAATTAAAATTTAATATAGTAAATATACTCATAGAGAATCACACCCTGTAATTGTATAAAATATTATTTATTTGTATTATATGAATATATGTAAATAAACGGACAATCAATAGCATTCCTTTACATAGCTAGCGCCTTATCGAAGTAATAGAACAACTACGCAGTATCGAAAATTCTGTTATAGAATGAGAAGGCACGTATGACTGTTCATTTACAAATGAGTATGATATTGAGTATAAGGCGTATGTGAAATAATGCATATATAGGTTATGAATACTAACTTTTTGACCTATAGAGGTAAATAAATTATTATTTATGAACAAGTAATAATATCTAATACTATAAATTATGTAAGCATTTTCAGCTAGATTTTTATATATTATATGTATTTACAAGTATATTCAAATATCAAGGTATTTTTTAACCGACTTCAAAAAGAAGGTTCTTAATTCGGTTGTTTGTTTTTTATGTTTTTTACCTAATAAGTCCATCAGTTCTAAAACAATTCAATTCGATATGATGATTACGTCACCTTCTACCATTATACAGCTCGCCGTTAACAAGGTTTCAGAGATGATTCCTCCCATGACTATTCAGGTTATGGAATGAGCTCCTTGCCAAGGTTTTACCAAAAGACTACAGCATGGAGTTCTTCAAAAAAGGAATAATGAGGTTTCTTTAGTATCGGCAACGTGCGTGTAATGCCCCTCGTATTCATAGGCTACGGTAACCACTTACCATCAGGTGAGCCATATGATTAGTTGCCACCTCAGTGGTATAAAAAATATATGTATTTAAACATATATATTAGTTGTCTAGTATATAGACATCGACCCATAGTAAAACCTCTGCTTTGCTGTTTAATTAAAAGAAAAGAGAAATGCATTTTTAGGTGACGCGGACGATGTCGCGGTTAAGAAACAGTAAAATTATACATATTGTATCAATTCTGCGAAGTAAAAAACAGTAGAAAATAAGATCAAATCGTAGGCGGAAAGCATAAGGAGTGCCTACCAATATTTTATGATTATTAAACGACATCAAAAACGTAAAGGTTTTTGAAGATGTTATGCCCCGGTTCTCTGTAATTTCACTGCCATTACATCGTTTAAACTAAAATACAGCTATGCAAGCACAGGTGTTTAACGACAGAAATACGAGTGGGCCGGAGGTACCCAAGCAGAAGAATTTCTACAAATTCTTCCTCTGTGAAGGATTTACGGTTTTCAATTTCATTTGATATAAATTATTGTATGAGAATGAATCAGTTATTAATATAATACTGAATAAAGTTTGAAAAATAGGTTTATTTATTTATTTAACTCTTTATTGCACCAGAACATAATAATAACATAACATTACATATTAACATAACATTTACATAATAACAATAACATAAAAAATACAATAACAACAGAACAATTGATGTGAAAAACAGTAATATAAAATACATATTAAAATATATACATAAAGGTTCAAAAGGGGGTCTTATCACCAGTGCAGTCTCTTACAGACAACCTTTGGTTAAAGGAGAACAAATAAAAGTGGGTAGGTAGGTGCAAGAGTGAATTAATATTTTTTTCGTGCATAAAACACAAAAATTATATATTGCCAGATTATATATATATATATATATATATATATATATATATATATATATATATATATATATATATATATATATATATATATATATATATATATATATATATATATATATATATATATATATATATATATATATATATATATATATATATATATATATATATATATATATATATATATATATTATCCTGGTACCTCGCCAGTGTATGTACACCGATAGTGCAGGTAAGGTAAATAAATAAATAAATTGTCATAAAAGAAGTACCTTTGTATATTATGAATACGTCACTTTCTAATCACGTAGATAAAATGTTATTTTTTATATCCGCGGGTTATTTATTTACCTAAATAAATAAGGAAAAAATTGTATACTCTTTCTCGTCGGATTGATCCTGTTATTTAGCTTTTGTTTTATCTTATTTTTTTTTATCATAAAACATATTTTATTTATTTCACATATATTCTTATATACCTTCGTCACGTTATCTAATATGTGAAATATTTAAATTATTATCGTCAATTTTATTTGAAGCTGTGTGAAGAATTACATGGATTTGTACTTAAGTTACTGTTACGTTTGATTCTATTTAATATGCTGAGGGAAATATGGACATGTCGAGTATTATGTTCTGCACAATAACAACAGTCGACGGACATCCTTGATTTTTTTAAATTATGATAATAGAATGGTAATCCCACCTACATTAACATTGTGCACGCTGGCAAGGCACCAGTGAGGGATGACAGGTGAGAATGAAAAGACAGGTCAGTTAGCCCATCGCAATGAATAAATACACTTAGAATTCAGCACGATGGTTTCCAGGGGCGACCACGTGGAGGTTGATCTGACAGAGTATATTGCCAGCAATCCCGTCCCCCCTTGGTTAGAAGTTATAAAATTTTGTCAGTTTGTGTATAGTTAAATCGTGACGAATTTAACTATAATTAAATTGTGTACAATTTAATTAAAGTTAAATTCGTCACGATGGGCTGATTAATCTGGATCAATTCTCAACTATCAACCCTTACTGGTGTCCCGTTAGAATATAGTGCAGGCTGGGTTATTATTTCAATGAGACCCAATGAAAAAAGAAACTTTTGTTCATTTGAGTGTTTAAATTACAATAAAAATGTAATATACTCAACGGATTCCAATTCAATCCATACTTCAGGCTTAATTATCTCTGCTAACATTTTGTATACAGCAATTTATTAAAAAAGAAAAATGGCGTAAAATTGCTGAACGTTTTATTTAGAGAGTACAATGATAAATTTAAGGGCATTCGTCACATAGCACTGAGACTAAACAATTTGCTGAGGTATTTACATACCTTGACACATGTGAACAACATAGTAATATGTTGCAAATACACTCCAACATATGTTGTAAACAGAATTAATTGCACGATGGCGGCAGATGGCTTGTAATTAATTACTCGGTACACTGCGGCCATTTCACCAGTATATTCGTACTAAATGTAGGTATGTACTAATTATACCCTTATAGGACGAAGCGCGCCAAATAAATGTTGGGTCCGTATTTGCTTCTTTATGTCTTTTTAAATCAAATTAAATTTTGCCACATAATTTTGCTTAATGAAACGATATGTCCATAGGGCTTTTCATATGTACTTATATATGCGAATGTAGGAAACAAGTGCTCCGTTAGATTGTTTGTTATTCCAAGTTGTATGAGAAAACACCGATATCATCTTCAGACCTAGCTATGTCTTATGACCTCAGTCCAATCCTGTTTAATTCAAATTTATTAATCATCATATAAGCCGTTAACTGTTCACTGCTGAATAAAGGCTTCCCCCATAAAAGGACGATTTTTCTATTATATGTCACACTTGGTAGGCAGGTTGGCGATTTTTTTTTTAATGGTGAAAATGGTATGGTAGCCCCGCCTGCGCTAACGGGATACGCTGGCGGAGCACCAGTGAAGGATGATAGATGAGAATGAAAACAGGCCAATTAGCCCATCATGATGAATTCATGAGGAATTAACCATGATAGTTTCCAGGGGGAACCGTGAGGAGGTCGACCTGATTGGGTATATTGTTAGCAATGGGATTCTCAGTCTCCATTACTAACAATCCCTTTCCCCCCTAGCAGGTTGGCAATTGCAATACATTTTTAACAGGTACACTGTTGTCCATTCCTTGGTCATAAAAATTATTCATGTATCTTATGAAATGTGACAGGAACAAGCGAGTGTGTTACGTCTACAATGGCTATTGTAGTAATAGTTATCACTACATCTCTGACTGTACCATAAAGAAATTATAGTCTTAACATATTTATAAAAAGTATTATTTTTACTTAACTACGGTGAAGCCAAAAGGAGGGTTATGACAATAGATGAACATACATACATACTCGTCTAAAGACATCTGTTTCATAACTTCTAACTTCTTCTAACTGTTCCTCATAACTTCTAAACTACTTATTATAGTTTGATAAATGAAGAATCGTTGGTAGTGTTTTGATTGACCGTTGTTATTGTAACGTCAGTGAAACAATGCAGTCAGTTACTAACTGGTTTATTGAAAAAAGAACAAATCTCTCCACCCGTCTTAATATAAACTATTAAACTACCCTCCATTTCTCCCCACTTAATTTAAGACAATCGTTTGTTTATACGGTAATGATACATAAGTTAAATAAAAGAATTATACAACGAAATACTAAGAACAAAAATACATTTTATGAGAATATCTCTGTTATCTCAACTTAATTTGAAATACAACTATTATCCGTGGTGGTAACATTTTTTTATGTTTATATAATCCGTTTATTTCTTAATGTAAAACATAGTTGCATATATTAACGATAGGTATATAATCTTAGTATCTTAAGTTTATAAATATATATAAAATTAAGCAATAAACACAATATATCGCACATAACATATACGTGTATTACTAGAAATTGGCTCATATCTCCATCCCCTGTTTGCGTAATTCTCTTTCATGCGCGCGCCTAGCCCGATCACTACCCTGATCTAATGGTGGCTGTTGCTCAAACTCTAAACTCTTTACATTGGTTGATATATTCCCTTTTTCTTCCCGTTTCTCATTTTCACCTATTATCGGACTGTGCGAGCTATTTCTTTTCTGTTGTGTTTGTTGAATATCATTATCAAATGACTGATTATTAGTACTATCTGATATTTCGTTGCTATTTGAACCTGACATTGAGAACCTATTACGTGTTAGAGGCCATAATTGGTCTGAATGTCTACGACAAGAGTTTCCAGTATTTAACTGAACCGTATACGAGACTGGCCCTGTTTTAGACGTTATCCGGCCTTCGGTCCATTTGTCCCCCTGCGACGAATAGTCTCTTGCTAACACACTATCCCCCACTTCAAAAGTTCTGTCTACCCCGCCAGCATTCAATATTTGTTTATCTTGCGCCTGTCTAACGATATCACTAGTATTAGGTCGCACCACATCTAATCTAGTACGTAATCGCCGTCCCAGTAAAGCGACTGCTGGTGCCACACCAGTCGTAGCATGCTCACAGTTTCTATATTGAAAGAGGAATCGACTCAATGCTAGGGCCAAATCTTTTCCTTCATAAATAGCTTTCTTTAAGGCTTTTTTTATTGTTTTTACAGAGTTTTCTGCGGCTCCATTACCTTGTGGTCTATATGGTGATGAAGTAGAATGTCTAATTGTGTTTTTTCTACAAAAATCATTAAATTCGTGACTCTGAAATGGGGGACCATTATCCGTCACCAATTGTAAAGGCAAACCAAATATTGAAAATAAATTACGAAAATATTGAATAGTGTCACTAGCTGAAGTACTACGTAACAGTGTTGCGTCTAACCATTTTGAGTTGGCATCGACTACCACAATATAGTACTTTCCATTCAATTGTGCAAAATCGGCATGTAATCGTTGCCATGGTGCCGCAGGGAACTCCCAAGGATGCAGTGAGGACCGCGGTGGGGCATCACGGACATTCCGGCACGCCTCGCACTCACGTCCTACCCTCTCAATATCGAGGTCTATCCCGGGCCAATAAACATAATTCCTGGCGATTGATTTCATTTTGATCACCCCTAAATGACCTTCATGTATCTCTGATAATATTTGTTGTTGTAATTTACTCGGAATTACGACACGATATTTATATAATATACACCCATGTTCCACATATAGTTCCGTCCGTCTATTGTAAAAAGGTTTCTCAAATTTCGTTAAAGTTACATTCGTCCAACCATACATAATGTAACCATATATTTTTGACAGCAATGAATCGTATTTAGTTGCGACAGCTATATCTTTATAATTAACTGGCAAAGTTTCATTTATTAAATTTAAATAATGTGATTCATTATTTTTGCCTATTGTATTGGTTTTATTTGACACCTTTAGACCTAATTCCCCTTGCAGTGGTAACCTAGATAAGGCGTCTGCGTTACTATTATTCCTAGAGCTCACATATTCTACTTCAAAATCATAAGCTGCTAGTTTAATTGACCATCGTTGCAGCCTGCTCGCCGCCGTCTGTGGTATACCTCCTTTTGAACCAAAAATGTATGTCAATGGCTTATGGTCCGTTTTTAATACAAATGATCGGCCGTATAAAAATTGATGGTGCTTTTGCACACCGTACAAAATAGCCAATGCCTCCTTATCTAATTGACTATAATTCTTTTCGGCGTTCGTAAGTGTTCGCGAAGCACAGCTGATCGGTCGCTCGGTACCGTCTGGATACCTATGCGCTAAAACTGCCCCTAGTCCATAGCTACTACTATCTACCGTTAGTAACAAAGGCAATGACGCATTATAATGAATTAAAACTTTGTCACTAGACAGAAATTGTTTAACCTCCTGAAACGTTTTCTCACATGTTTTGTTCCAATTCCATGGTGAGTTCTTTTTCAATAATTGGTACAAAGGATGGAGGAAGGAGCTCAAATTCGGAATAAATTTTCCGTAATAATTAATTAGTCCTAAAAAAGGTTTTAGTTGTGTTACATCATCTGGCTGTGGTGCTTTCAATATGGCTTCCACTTTTGATAAATCTGGATGTAACCCTTTTTTGTCTATTACAAAACCTAAGTACGATACACTAGTTTGTAAAAAAGAACATTTATTAATTTTAATAGTGAGGCCCATTTCAGCTAATCTTTTGATTACAGCACGCAGGTTTTGTATATGACTGTACCTGTCGGGTCCTGTGACACAGATGACGTCTAAAAACACTACTGTATTCGGAAGACCGCGTAGGGTCTCCTCCATGATTTTTTGGAATTTTTCAGGTACACAACTTAAACCATAAGGTGTACGTCGAAATACAAATGTACCTAGATGCGTGGATATGGCAGTCACCGCTTGGGAGTCCTCTTCCAGCGGGACCTGCATGTAGGCAGTGGTGAGATCTATTTTCGAATATTCTTCTCCTTCGCTTAAGGCAGCAAATAATTCTTCTATCCGAGGCAGGGGATAATGATCTCTTTTTAATTTAGGATTTATAGTTGTTTTGTAATCTCCACAAATACGAATTTCACCTGATTGTTTAATTACTGGTACAATAGGTGTTCCATAATCGGAATGTTCGACGGAATATATAGAACTCTCCTTTTGCAGTCGGTTCAGCTCACGCTCAACAGCCGCGCGTAACGCGCGCGGTACCGGTCGCGCCCGCATGTACACCGGTTCCGTGTCTGTTAACTGTAATCGGATTGTTTTTTTACATGTGCCTAACTTATCTGTAAATACTTGTGGGTAATCTTTTTTTAATTGATTTACAATATTAGTACGGAACTCGCTATCATCTCTTTCACAAATACTATTAATATGTAACTGGTTAATATTGAATCTACGAATCCAGCTCCTCCCTAACAGTGGGCGACTACCATTTTTTATTACATATAATTTTAATTTATTTTGAGTAATTTTATTAATACAGGCGTTTACCACAATATAACCTATAGGTTCTATAGTCGAACCAGAGTATGAACACAATTTAATATGATCGCTTTGTAAAGGATAATGAGTAAAAAAATCTCTATAATAATGTTCGTTGATTGCAGATATCTTACTACCGGTATCGACTTCACATCTAATTATCTTTTTGTCTATAATAACGTCCACAAAATAAGGATTGTCTCCGGAAGACATCACCCGTATATTATATAAATCACTGTCTGATTCATCCTCGATGAAATTGTGTCTTTTATTCTCTGACGTCTTACACATCACTTTCAAATGACCTTTACGCTGACACTTATCACATGAATAATTTTTAAAACGGCACTTATCTGCTCGATGCGGTTTACCGCACCGCCAACAAGTGGCCGCCGCCGCGCTCCCCGCGGGCCGCGCGCTGCGCACCGCGTGCAGGCCGTCGGTCGGCCTGTCGGTGTCGGCGCCGCCGCCGCCGCCGCCGCCGCCGCGCGCCCACACGCCGCCTGCGCCCGCGCTGGTGCCCGCGCCGCTGTCCCGGCCGCCCGCACCGCCATGAGTAGCGCTCGCCTCGGCATGTTTATCAGCAGCCTCCAATGCCAGAGCTAGTTCCACCGCCTTTTTGTATGTTATGTCTTTTTCGGCAAATAAACGCGATCGCATGTCATCACTGCTCAGACCGGACACGAACTGATCTCGAAGATTCTCTTCGAGCATCGACCCGAAATTGCAGGTCGTCGCTAGATGTTTTATTTTTTGCAAGTATCCGGACAGCGATTCACCTATTGATTGCCGTCTCAACCTAAACACATGTCTCTCTGCTATCACTGAACGTTGTGGTTCGAGGTGGTCTGCCACTATTTTTTCGAGCTCCGTGAACGTTTTATCTTCTGGGTTGGCCGGTGCACACAAATCACACATGAGATTGTAGGTGGGTTCACCGACTAACGTAATTAATATCGCGACTTTCAGATTTTCTTTAATTTCGTTACACAATAAAAATTGTTTGACACGTCGCACGTATGCATTCCATTGTTTGGTATGTAAATCGAACGGTTCTATTTTACCCACGGGCATGTTCACCACTAATATCAACTTTTTATAACACAATTACTCTTAAAACGGTTAATTATAGTTATTATCGTTTAGTTTTTTTTTTTTACTCGTCGCCAGTGTAACGTCAGTGAAACAATGCAGTCAGTTACTAACTGGTTTATTGAAAAAAGAACAAATCTCTCCACCCGTCTTAATATAAACTATTAAACTACCCTCCAGTTATAAGATATGTGATGACACATGAGATTGCATATGTGCGCCTTTTAGAGGATATAACGTCATAATTAATAGGAAAATTTCTTAACGATACCGTGTTGGATATTAAATGAAAGAGCATAGATAGCTTATTTCAAATACATACGTATAAGACATACATAGGTCATATATTGTTAGCTGTTGTTTGTAGCTTTTCTTGTATGAGTCTGAATATAATCTAAAATCAAGCCTTAGATGTGAGCTAAAACAAAATAAATTCATAAAGTAAAACCCGTCTATTGTATACGACCACAGCTATCTTCATATTCATTTATTAAATATATAAATCATGTGTAAGATGTTTATTTAATAAACAATAAATATTGAATAGTTTGTATATAACAACTACAGATAAGAATATTATATTGTTTCATACTTTTTAGGTCGTGGTTTTAGTTTTTAAACCTTATTTATACAATCAAAAATTCATGAATGAATTTATACTCTGGAAAGTTTTCGTTTATTTACGCTAATTCAAATTGAAAGTAATATTTAGTATTTCATTGTTATTTGCAGGCCGTAATCCTCTTTATAGAACAAGTTCTATTAAATTGAAGACTGAAATATAATTTGACAAAGTAACTTGTAACATTTATAATTTTCGACATAAAGCAAAAATTGTAATAGTTTACAAAGAGTTGGAAACGACCAGTATATTTTGAATAAATTGGGGACAATTAATTATTTATTGACTTGGAAATATCTAAGATAATGGCTAAAAGGAACTATTATCTTAGAAAAGTCTGAGTCAATAAATTGACCATTACAATTTTGGTCTGTCTATTCCACTGAAGATGCTTTTCTATGAATTTTGAAAGTTTTTATTATGCAATTTAGAATGGCAAACAAGCTGACAGCCTACCTGATGGAAAGTGGTAATCTTCGCCTATAAACATGAGCATACCATGGACAAACAGAGTATACTGTTTCGCTTATGATACCCCTATGCATTGCTATTTCTGAGGAACCAGTTGTTATTCCTCTGTACCCTGTAAGTTCACTGGCATATCCCACCCTTCAAATCGAAACACAGCCATGCAAACACGACTGATTTACGGTAGAAATACGAATGTGACAGAGGTGCACAGGCAAACGACTTTTGTATAAAGTCTCCTTTTGGTAAAATAAAGTTTGCTGGAAGATATTTTTGTGTTAAGCAAGTCCTTGTACGAGTACATCACTTCTCTGTTAATATTCGTATTTTATTTCTTATATTTTTTTCTATGTGCAATAAAAGATAGAAAGAAAAAAAATATTATTGTAATTTATTTATTATTGGAGCATACTGTGTGGACAAATGATGATACGTTTCCGAAATAATAGAGGTACTTCCAAGTAAGGATGTTTCCGGAAGAGAATTCAGTGAAGGATGCCAACGTTTCGAATCTCAAAGGGTTGTTGTGAGAGCGCAATTTGTTACTACGCGTCGGAACACAAAGAGTGTCAGCGCCGGAGGCTCAATGTTTGATTTCACGGGAGACATAAAAAATCTACATCATTTCATCGGAATATTTTCATAGTACCTAAATGAAAAATATTTTTCTTGGCCAACCAATAGTACGATTTGTTATTATATTTTACCTACTGACGTGTGTTGTTGTTTATTTATCATTAACGCGGTATATCTACAGATATATCTGCAATAACATATGAAACTGCTGCCCAAAAGGCGGCACAATCTACAACATCAGCCATATTTTGAACGTTCATAGTATCTCCTTCACTATGATGAAACCAAAAGTACCGTTCATTTTTATTCAACAATGAAGCTCCAGGAATTCCTTTATTTACAAATAAAGTAATGTCTGATCCTGGACCACCACTATTTGTCATTTCGTCTATGGGAGAAAAAAGTTTTAAAACTTCTCCAACTATACAACGAGCTATTTTAGAACCAGCTACATCCAAACCTCTAGGGCTGAATGTTCCTTCATCAGATTCCATTATAAAATTTATATTCGAGAGTTCGTGTATATGTTTATTTAAGTACGCTGCCGCGCCAATTAGACCAGGCTCTTCGGAGGTCCATAATATTGCCCGGATAGTTCGTCTGGGTTTTAATTGCAAAAGGTTTAATATAACTGGAGTAAACCAGCTAATTATCATACCTCCGCCATCGTCCATTGCACCTTGACCGACATCCCAGCTGTCAATATGACCAGACACTATTACTAGCTTTTCAGGTTGTTCTTTACCTTTTAAATCTACTATTGTATTTCTAGATTTTTTTTGATCGTAGGTACTAAACATTTTTATATTTATTATAATTTTCTCTCCGTCATCTTGTAATCGGCGTAGTAAATCTGCATCTTCCAAAGTAATTGCTGCTGTTGGAATCTTAGTTACATTTGCTTCGTAAAATTGAGCTCCTGTATGGGGCGAATAAATAGAAAAAGGGGTAATGCTTCTTATTAGTGAAGCTACAGCACCCTTTTTGGAGGCTTTTGATGCACCCTGTGATCTATATATTACAGTATCTCCATAAGTGACATAATGAGCGTCGAAAAGCACAATTTTCCCTTTTATATACTTATCATCAGTATTTTCTAGTTCTTTAAAACTACTTATCACTATTATTTCAGCTGTGATTCCATCAGGAGGTGTGCTAACACTGGTGCCTAAACCAATTACAGCGATATTCTTTTGTCGAGGGCTTAACATGACCACAGATTCGAGACCACGTACCCAGTGTGGTACCTGAAATTCATAATAAAATAATTAAATTATTTTGTTAGTATAATTTTTATTTAGGATACATATTGTTTGATTTCCTGAAAAGTTGCAAAAATTACATCAAAATTAGTTAAGTATTAATCTTTGAGCAATTTCACTACAGCCACAGTTATGTATGTATCAAATCATCATTATCATCATCTCGGTCATTATATGTCCACTACTGAACATAGGTCTTCCTCACAGACTGCCGAATAGAACGGTCCTGAGCCACTTGCATTATTTATTGAATATATAATATATTGAATATAATATTGATATATGGATACATTTATTATGGTGTATGAGAGTGAAATGTCAGATATAATATCTTGAGCTGCTAAATGATCATACAATGACAATACAGCTATAGTTGTGACTCGTATTGTATACCATTTGTATGAAGAACAAAAAAAAAAAAAAAAAAATATATATATATATATATATATATATATATATATAGAGAGAGAGAGAGAGAGAGAGAGAGAGAGTGAGAGAGAGTGGTTTGGCAAAGTAAGATTTTTGCATGCTAATAAGATACATTCATTATCGGAAAGATGTAAAGATGACTAAGTAAATACAATGCTATACCAAGCCATTTGATCAGCGTGATAACAGTAGTGAAAATATCCTTTCTTAATCTAAATAGAAAAGCAAATGAAGAGGACGACCGAAGAAAAGGTGGACAGATTCTGTGAGAGACGATATGCATAAAAGGGCAGTGGATTTGTGGAAGAAGAAGCTATAGTGCATCCACCTCAAATAAACGCGAAAAGGCAAGGCAATGATGATAATGGGGATAGAAATAATGATTTCTCTCAACGTGTTCAGCTGTGGATCTTTAGTGGTTAATTGTATAGTCGTTTGTTTTACTAGTCTTCTTATCCTTCAATGTTGTTCTTTAATCTACGTTTGAAGAAACAATGCACACATTACTGCGTAATTGGATATATGTATAAATATGGATTATTGTATTATATATTTTGTTACCTCTACTTCTTCTGTTGTCACGTCATTTAAACCATTTTCTATGGTAAGATTTATCATATGGTCAATAGATTTTTCCAATGTTATAGAACCGGATGGTCGTGCCCCAAAAGTGTCAATGAAGTCAGAATACCTGAAAAAGTTTAGATAATATTTAATTACGATCAGCAACATTCTTAATAATTAAGAATGTTAAATTTAAAAATTTAATAATTTATTAAATATTTTTTGTTTCCTGAGAATATGATGTGATTTTCAAATATTGTGAATATTATATATGCACTAGCTTTTATTCGTAAATTTGTTCGGGTAATCGGTTAACTGGAACAAAAAGTAGTCTATATCGTTTTTTATCTCATATAGTACATGTATACCAAATTTTACGAATAAATGAAATTAAAATTAATACATGCAATTCTTACTGATATTATAAATGTGAAGTGGTATTGTTTGTTTATGTTTGTTGTATAGCGCCTTAATGGCATAATTAGTCACTATGAAATTCAGTGTACACGAACTACATGGGATGGAGAAGGATATGGCTACTTTTAAGCCCGCTCAGTAAACATATTCCAGTCACGCGGACGCAGTCGTAGGTAAAAGCTAGTATTTTTATATATTAATTACAATTTGTGTAGAAAGTTCACTGATTATTGATTTGAAATTAAAACCACTGAAAGGGATTAATCAATAAAGGAATATTTTAGTTTGAACGTTATAATCGGAAACTAATAATTACCGCTTGTAAGTTGTAATATAAATTAAAATTATCAGAGAGAGACTTTTTAGAAAAGTCGATTGCTTAGGTACCTCTGTCCCATTCGTGTTTCTACCGTGAAGCAGTTGTGTTTGCATAGATGTGTTTTGGTTTGAAGGGTGGGATATGGCGTGAATTTACAGGGTACAGAGGAATAACATCTGAGTCCTCAGGAATGGCAACGCATGGGGGGTATCATGGGCGAAACAATCTACTCTGTTATGTCCATGAGCAGTACTCATGTTTATAGGCGACGGTTACCACTTTCCATCAGGTGGGCCGTCAGCTTGTTTGCCATCTTAAGTTGTATAAAAAAAATATATACATATATATTAAGAAAGAAAGTAAGAAATATTTTTATTCAAGTAAAGCTAGATTTAAGCATTTTTGTATAGTTATTTTTTTTTCATTACCGTCCATTTGCAATATATTTTCTAAGCTGTTGTTTCTCTCCAAAAGTTTAATTATATAAATAAGGAATTTGTGTGAATACAAGCTACTAAACAGTATCAGATGATAAAATTTAAAATATATAGTATATAATTAAAACAAAAAAAAAATAATTGCAGTGACCAGAGCAGACTAGTCCCTACAGTTAGCATACGTTCATGAGTATGATGGGTGAACCAGCCATCATTAAGCTCAATCATATTTTAGGGAATTCAATAAACCGACCCACCACGCCACCACCTGTCTGAACATTTTAGTGACCACGTTCTAACCTTACACTTACAAGGCTCTCAACCACGTCATAGCCAAATTAAAATAAATACGTCTGGCACCATCAGTGTAAAATGTAATAGATTAAATTTTAATGCATGTGCGACTATCGATACATTTTTAATCTGTGGCAAGTGGTTAGTGAGTGTGGTGTGGTTAGTGAAAAAGTTTCTAAAACTAATTAGATACTTACAAAATTTTTACAGATGATTTTATTACAATTCTGATAGGGTGCTGCTGGTAAATGCTGTTAAAATTAGGCATTGTAGCGTAACAATTTAATGGGCTATTTACGAAGATCACCTTGTCGAATAGACTCAATGAAATGAATTTACTACAATTTACAGTACCGGGGCGCCGTTGTAATTGTCGAACGAAAAAGAGTGTATTTTTTCTAAGAAAGATCACAAAGTCAGAGTATTTAGGTATTGTATACAGAAAGACGACGTTGGAATGAAACGAGCAAAGAGAAAAACCTACATTTTTTTTTTTTTTTTTTTTTTTACAACACAGGGGGCAAACGAGCATGCGGCTCACCTGATGGTAAGTGACTACCGCCGCCCATGATCACCCACAACACCAGCGGCATTGCAGGTGTGCTGCCGGCCTTTTAAAAAGGAATATACTCTTTTCTTGAAGGTTATGTTGTCGTATCGGTTCGGAAATACTGCTGCTGGAAGTTGATTCCAAAGAATGGTTGTGCGTGGAAGAAAGTGCCTTGAAAAACGCACGGTGGAAGACCGCCACTCGTCCAGATGATTGGGATGAAACTTTAGTTTGTGGCGGGTTGTACGGTGGTGAAAATCAGCAGCAGGTATCAATCCGAACAATTCCTCAGAACACTCCCCATGATAAATTCGGTAGAAGATGCACAGAGACGCAACATCTCTGCGCAGTTTCAATGGGTCAAGTCGGACAGTAAGGCGTTGACTATCGATAATTCGAGCCGCCCGACTTTGAATGCGGTCTAACGGAAGGAGTTGGTACTGTGGCGCTCCTGCCCACAGGTGAGAACAGTATTCCATATGCGGCCTGACTTGGGCTTTATATAATTTCAGGCGGTGTTCTGGCATGAAATATCGTCTCACCCTATTGAGCACTCCTAACTTTTTGGAAGCTATCTTAGCCTTCTCCTCCAGATGACCGCAAAACTGGACGTCGCAAGATATATCAACGCCCAGAATTCCTAGACTTGACTTTTTATCAAGGGAAGTGCCCTGAAAGTGAGGAGATACGACAAACGGCGTCTTTTTTGCGGTAAACGCGCAGACTTGTGTCTTTTTGGGGTTAAATTGGACAAAATTTTGTTCACCCCAGATCGAAACTTGATGGAGTGAAGTTTCGATTTCAGACACAAGTCTATTCCGGCACTCATCGGTATGTGCCCGCGAGATCTTTGCATGACCGGTATATAATGTATCTCCTGTACTGTCGTCCGCATAGCAATGAATATTACTTATCTGTAACATATCATTGATATGCAGAAGAAACAGAGTCGGAGATAGTACACAGCCTTGCGGGACACCAGCATTCAAAGGTTTTAAATCAGAGCATGCACCGTCGACTACGACCTTAATGCTACGTTCCTTGAGAAAACTGGCGACCCAAATGCACAGTCTCGCAGGCAACCCAAATGAAGGTAGCTTTGAAAGCAGCGCTCTATGCCACACCCGATCAAAGGCCTTCGCAATATCCAGACTAACTGCTAAGGCCTCTCCCTTACTCTCGATTGCCACTGCCCATCGGTGTGTTAAGTAAGCTAAAAGATCACCGGCCGAACGTCCTTGTCGAAAGCCATACTGGCGATCACAGATCAGCCGGTGCTCTTCTAGGTACCGGAGCAGTTGACGGTTAATGATGGATTCCATAACCTTCGAGAATAAGGAAGTGATAGCTATGGGCCTATAGTTAGCTGGATCTGAGCGATCTCCCTTTTTAGGGATCGGATGCACCAGAGCAGTCTTCCAAAACTTTGGGACTATGCCCGATGAGTAGCTAAGCCGAAAAAGACGCGTAAGAACCGGAGCCAACTCTGGTGCACACGTCCTAAGCACAATTGGAGGAATACCATCAGGCCCACTCGACTTATGGATTTCGAGAGAGAAAAGTGCTCTACGCACTGAGCTATGCGTGAATTTAATGTCAGGCATAGAGCTCCTACAACACGTGATGGTCGGTGGTGGTTTCTCCCCGTCATCCAATGTCGAGTTTGACGCAAAGATGGATCCAAGAAGATCGGCCTTTTCTTTAGCGTTCTGGGCCAACGAGTCATCCTCCCTGCGCAAAGGTGGAAAAGATGACTTACAGAAATTCCCTTGTGCAGCTTTGGCAAGAGACCAGAAAGCTCGAGTCCCAGAGGGCAAACTAGCCAGTCTCTTGCCAATTCTACTAATATGCTCTGACTTCGCTGTGGCTATAACTCTTTTGAAAGACCTAGAGGCAGAGTTATACTTCTTTTTAAGAGCACTGGTGTTAGGATCTCGCGACGCCACACCTTTAGCCCAGGTTAGGAAGCACTCCTGTTTCAGACGAGATGCTGTTCTACAGGAGGCTCCATACCAGGGCTGGGATTTCCCGCCGACGGGCACCACAGAGTTAGGAATAAATAATTCCATTCCCTGAAGCACCACATCAGCAATGGAATCGGCAATGGCGTCGGGATCATCCAGTGTGAAGCAAATCTGCCTCCATGGGTAAGATGCGAAAAAAATCCGCATCTCATCCCAATCTGCCGACCTGTAGTGCCAAATGCGACGTCTACCCGTAGAACGAGGTGGAGTCGGACTCGTAAGAGGCACTTCGCTCCGCACCAAACAGTGATCCGACGATCCAAGCGGGGCTTCGACGGAGATCACATAGTTGTCTGGGTGGGTGGTCAGCAGAAGGTCCAGCAGTGAAGGTGAATGGTCCAACACATCAGGGATTCGCGTAGGCGAGGAAACAAGCTGTGTCAGACCATAAGCCAAAGCAAAGTCATGAACAGATCTTCCCGCATAGTCGGTTGTACGCGAACCAAGCCATTCGGCATGGTGGGCATTAAAGTCGCCAACAATCACGACTTCAGCGGAAGGAATCTGCTCAAGCAGGGAATCTGTAGCCATTTGGACGTGCTCAATTAGTTGGTCGGTTTCAGTGTTACCGCTGTGGGACCTGTATAGGCACGCATAGATGCGGGGATGGTCATTGCAATCTACGCGCAGCCATAGAATGGACAGGTCCGTACCTTCAAGAGTTCCAAGGCGTCGACAGCAGATATCCTCTCTGACATACGCACATACACCGGCACGCGAAACAAAACAATGTTCAAGCTTATACCCCGGGTAGGTCAGGTATGATGTTTCGTTAGGAGGGGATATCTGTGTCTCCGTGAGGAAGAGCAATGCCGGCCGCGCCGTTTCTAGGTGGTGGTGGACAGCGTTCAGGTTTGAATGAATTCCCCTAATATTACAGAGGCTCACATTGAGCAAAGGGGATACCGCAGAAGTCTTGCTCTGTTTGCCCTTGGTCCCATAGAGCGGAATTTTGCCCCCCCCAGAATACGCAGGGCAGCCCGAGCGTGGTTGCTCGAGGGAGGATTCTCCAGCAACATGGCTGCTGGTACCTCCCTGGGGTACGTTATTTTTTTTAAATTCCACTGCCATGGTATTGAAAGATGGGGGGACGGAGTTGGGGGAGGATTTTAGGATAAGGAAGGGGATGGGTATAGGATGGGCCTCCGGACTCCCTCACTCACCATACGGAATGTGGTCGCACTAAAAGTGCGGCCACTTAGCGTCGGTATTCTGTGAGGGTGTGGTACTTCCCCGGTCGAGCCGGCCCATTCATGCTGCAATACCATATGGTATTACAGCGTGGCTCTACCACCTATAAAAATTGGGTTCTATTTTTTAATCACTATTAACTAACTTCTAAGAGCGGGGGGAGGGGGCATAAATTGTTAGTAATGTGGCCTACCAGTCCCATTGCCTTAACAGGTCGACCTCCACGTGGTCCCTAATGGAAACCCTCGTGCTGAATTCCAGGCATCAGGATGGGCTAACTGACCTACCTTTTCATTCTCACCTATTATCCCTCAACGGTGCTCCGGTGTTACCATTGAATAAAATATATCATGCACTAATTAAAAATAAACCTCTAAGACTGTTTATACAATAAATATTACAATAATTAATAATATAATAATTTTTCTACCAAGCGATTGTGTTAAGTGGTGTATAAACCATGAGATGTATCATAGATATACTTAACGACTTGTACACAAATATTGTAGTTGTAATCATTAAAATTATCGGGCCGTGTGATCTTGTCATAGAATGGGCTACATCTTCCTTTTCCATGAGTGTCCTAAGAGGTGACTAAGGGAACATAATAGTCAAGGGATGGACAGCAGCGTCTTTCTTAAAAAAATATAAAAGCCGAACTGTGATTGCGAACCCGTCTGCCAAATTTGGCGACTAATGACAAAACTCCTCAATAGGGAGAGGCCTATGTTAGCAGTAGACAGTTATTAGATAATATGAGAATGATATTGCATATTGCATACATACTTTCAACTTTTTTAAAAATAAAGAGGTTCTCAATTCGGTTGAATTTTTTGTTTGTTACCTTATAAGTCCGTCAGTTATGAACCGATTCGGAAAATTAATATTTTATGTGAAACGATACACTTACGAATTGGTTCCATAGAAATTTTATCAAAATCGGTTTAGTAATTATTAAAAAACAATAACTTGTTTGTCCACAATAGAAGTAGATTTTTTTTGTGAAATAAGATCATAAATTATTTTTTGCTAAGAAGCAAGTTTTTGCTCCTTAAAGAAAAACAGGAGCTTTAATGGTTACAAACATAAAATGTTATCAGTAACGGAATAAATCCTATCGGTTAAGAATCTTTCTCTTTTGAAAGTTACTTTAAAATTACTAGGCGTAGGTACTTGTGATTTCTTCCAGAATTTGACTCTTTTGGCACTTATTATTAGCTATACCAATTTTTTAGTAGTTCTTTATCATATATAATGCGTATATGTTAGTTTTCGTGATTGGTTAAGTCATTAAAACGCTAAAAGATAACAAACAATTTCTCTTACACATTTACAATATAAGTGAGGATTAACAGAAGCAAAGTCGCGAGATACAGTTGGTATGAGAGGAAGGAAATGTTAGTAATGCGGACTATCAGTCTTAATGTTAGCACTATGCTCACCATGTGGTCCTCCCTGGAAGCCATACATATATTCATCACGATGGGCTAATTGATCTGCCTATATATTCTCACCTGTCATCCCTCACTGGTGCCCCGCCAGCGTGTACCGTTAGCGCAAACAGGCTTAATATTCCAATACTATCCATTAAAAAAAAATACAGCTGGTATACATTTGAAAAATGTAAATAAATATAACTTACTGTTTGTACATAGTGCGACCATATCCATTCGAGATTATTTCATCCATAATCGTTCTCGTCACATTCTTGTATGATGCTATTTCTTTAATTAGTTCAGGTTTCAAGTTACACTCGATATCGTCATATCGATTCACAACATACGTAGCGTTTGTTGATATCAAACTGTAAACTGTTATTACAAATAAGAATAATGACAAATACATCATTTTGTGTCAACACAACTTAACGACCAGTGCTGTACTGAATAGTATAGTTGACGTTATCATTTGTGGGTTAATATAGGTCTGTTGATAATGTAATAGAAATGTAATTCAAAAACTAGGGTTAAAGGTTGCATTCTACACTAAAAATGAAGATAACGAGGTTTTTAGGAGGGCAGATTCGCCCAGTTGGAATTTTCATATACCTACATTTAACAATGGTTATTGTTGGAGATTCGTATAAAGATTCTTAAATGATACATACAATTTATGGTTCTGTACTAATATTATAAATATGAAAATGAGTTTAATTGTTTGTTATTCTTGACTTTTAATGACAATTGTCATGTAATTAATTATTTATTTATTTATTACATCCACTGGGTGAGCCTTATAGTCTTCCAATACGCTCACCCAAGAAAGCATGAGTACAATAACATATAAAAATTACACAAAAATATTAAACGAAAAATAATATAAAAAGATTTAACTCAAACAAAAAACGTCTGAACACAAATACTCTGTGGTCACTCGACGAAACTCCAGCAAGTTGGAGGCAAAGACATCCAATTGCGGATACTGGCTCAAAATATCATTGAGTAGTTTCAATGCAAGAGATAGGGGAGCCTGCTTAGCTAACTCTGTTCTTCGTAATGAAACATCGAATAAGTGCCGTCGAGGTGCTCGCACGTAGTTACTGGGCGCTTCTATTGATATATTGATTATATGTACATGTACTTATTATTTGGGATGGAGAATGACAAAACTACTGACTATGTACATATATCGGTAAATACTCGTATTCTAGTCATGTAATCGCAGTCGCGGGTAAAATTAGTAACAGGTATTATATATCTACAAATTATCTTAAAGTGACCCCTAAAAGCAAAAAATAAAAATAAGAAAAATGTTCGACATTCCAAGAAATTACATATGTCTTGTGTTAATATAATCTTTCATATCAGCTTGTGAATAGGTAACTATTTAGTTGCTAATTATAGAGATAACTCTTTCCATTAAAATGTTATTTTTTTTTATAATAAAATGATGAAATTTTTATCGTAAAATAATCATCACTGTTTTTCGTAAAAAAATTTAAAAGTAGACAACGTGATAAAATGTTAAAATATCCTGTAATACATCATCAGACGAGACTTTTACGGATTGATTAACTAAGAGACCTGGCTTTTTGGAACATCAAAAGCTTAAGCTAAATATAGACAAAGCTTTATGAATTTTTTATCACATCCTTCGCGAGGATCGTGTGATATATTAGGTACTATTATAATGTCATGCCGCAATATCAATGAAATTTATAACTCGGTGATTTCAAGATTCTAAATCCATAGTATTTGCTGAGCTTTACAAGGTAAGTCGCGACATTTGTTTTTATATTAAAATAAGATTGCAAATACCTTATCAAGCAATAGAACTTTAAAATTTCCATTTACAAAATTTAAAGTTCTGTGTAGTTTTCTCAAACCAACCAAATGGATTAAAATTTAAACTTACCAATTAACAATTTGTTTGCAATGGCACGAGCTAGGATACCTTTTATCATTGTGCATACCGAGAACTAAAATTTCGCAGGCAATTATCCCACAAATTGGACTGTGGAGAAAATTATTGCTGTTCATTATAATTAACCTCTAACTAATGACGGTAATAACAAACACCTTTCCTCCATAAATGGGTGAAGTTGTGTAATTAGCATGAAATTCGTCTGAGCAGATTTTATGTGACCATTTAAATAGATCGCTCAATGTTAATGTTCCTACGATCTCCTTAATTTTCCGGAGATAAGTGCATACTTAAAATAAACTACGCTACATTTCACACGATGAGCATTTGACTAAATCAGGGTAGTTATTCAAATACGAATGTTTGTTTAGAATTTGGTTTTTTTTAGGTTGTAAATGGTAGAAAATGAAAAATTTTGTACTTCGTTATTAACGCTTGTGCAATATTGGGAATTGTTGTTTAATTAGTTATCATTTTACTTAATTCCGCGTATTTTAACTTTTGATGCGGAGGACTGGCATACTTAGATATACTCTATGACCTCCCTTATGAAGTTTAGTATTATGAAATGTTCACAGTTGCTGATGACAGTTCACCACAAAATTGATAGAACAAAATGTGTTGCACCAATATTAGACAGGATCGAACAACGATAATGTTGAATTATCGACAGTGTATGAACAGGCCTTTAGGTACGTGGAAAATGAATCCATTTCTAAATAACGAAAGAGTTAATTACTGAAGTTGCTTTGTCGTTGTCTCTTATACGGGGTGTCGCGTGAGTAAATAAATAGGAATAGATTCATTTGATACAACGTCTATAGAGCGAAGCCTACTTCCTTTGATGAAATCGGTTAAAATCGCTTAAAAAGAGAAATAACGAGAATTAGTTTTAGTCTAAATATGTATAAATGCATATACGAGTATTGCTCATGTTGCACGATAGAAATATTTAAGATATTTAAGAAAAACAAGATTTTTTTTGAAATTTTGTCTGTCTGTCTTTATGTTTGTTCCAACACACGGTTTTCACAGTTGTGTTAAAGGTTTCTCTTAAAATCTGGTATATATTTCATCTTGATACGATATGTGGAAGTGATCTATTACATTGGTATGCCTACTTCTGAAGTCCACGCTTATAAAACTTGTAAAGTGGGCAAAAATCTTGTAATGAATATAAAAAAAATCAGTTCTCTTAGTCAGCGTTATATAGCGCAATAGTAGGCTAATATTTTCCACTTTTGGGAAAAGAACCGTTTCAAAGTGTGAGATGTAAATGGGTTATTAATATTTTAACCCTTAGTTTAGGCGTAAGTTTCATGCTAGATTAAATACCATGGTTAGCGTACTATTAAAGTATTCGGTATATACGGTATTCTAGGTACCTGTATTTGTATAGGTAAGCAAAATAATATTACATTTTAGTTCATTAACTTGCTTGCCACTAAAAATTTAAATGCAAAATAAATTTAAATATAAAAAAATTACAAATTAATTAAGTTATTTTAAAAATTTTAGTAATAAAGAAAGAAGCAATTTAAGCTGTAGTTTATTTAATTTTTTATATTAAGGTACAATCATTAGATTTTCAAGTAGTGATTAGATTAGCTTGCTAGTAAATTTTGTAAAAGAATATTATAGAATATTTTTATTTTGCTAAAATGAAGTTCGGAGGTCGTGAAAGAAAGTACTTTACACGTATCTACTCGAAGTTGTTAAGTAAATTCTAGGACTCGGTCACGTAGAAATAGGGAAAAGGTTCGGGAGATAGTGGCTATAGATGGTACTTGATTATGTGATCAAATGTTTAATGCAATAAAATTTTATATTTTTATTTATGTATTAAGGAATATTTATGTACATTAATCTATATTAGAAAATAAATTGTAAATGCAAATAAAGGAAAATATTTTGTATATCTTATCTATACTAATATCATAAAGAGAAAAGATTTGATTTTTTTTATTAATAATATTTTTGAGAATTCGTATTTTGAAATTCCTTTCGAAGCCGGGCTGGACCGCTGATGTTAAATATAATATATGTACTAGTGTGAAGAAAAATATTATTATTCACTATTTTAATATTATTTTAATACATATAATAATTAAAAATATATGTACGTAATGTTTATAACTAATTATAAGAATTTTGTGTATTTTTTATGGGTGAAAATGTAATGGTAACCCTGCCTGCGCTAACGGGATACGCTGGCGGAGCACCAGTGAAGGGTGATAGATGAGAATGAAAACAGGCCAGTTAGCCCATCATGAAGAATTCATCAGGAATTTACTATGATAGTCTCCAGGGGGAACTGCGAGGAGGTCGACCTGGTTGGGTATATTGCTAGCAATGGGGTTCTTAGTCTCCACTAACAATCCCTTTCCCCTCAATTTTGCGTATTGTCTATGACTACTTTTATAATTTTTTTTTGTGTACATAATATCAATTTATTTCTTATGCTGCAGATATTTAGCGCAGATATTTGTAGTGCGCTAAATATCTGGAAAATAATGGATCATAAAAAGTTATGTATTTTAAATATATGTACATTTAAAATACACGACTTTTCTTCGGTTTCAGGTAAAATAAATAAGATCCTCATAACGCTCTTGTTGAATCTGCATATGCTATTATATTTTAAAGCAATAAAGCAAAATGCAATGCGAACGTAAATTGTACGAATGTTCGCCATCGCCGGATGTGCACTATTCAAATAAGTACTTGTCATTCAATACGACAGCAGAGAGCATTGTGTGGTCACTGTAGGTATTAATATTATGTAATTTAAAACCGTTTTATGTTTTATTGAAATTTAAATTTTGTGGTAACATTTATTTTTAGGTGGATTTTATGTTGGATTCAGTATATTGGAAAAATGTGGTCGTATAAGAGATTATAGTATTATCTCTCTTTATATCTTGCATAAAGAATATAATTTATTTGATTTATAGATGTATATTTATAATTTATGTACTGTAATGTCAAGAACATAAGCATGAAATTTAAAAAATTTAAATGCATGTATTGATTTTGTTTTTTTTTTTTGTTTTGTTTTCAGAACACTCTATCAAGGAAAGCATTTTTTAAGATGTTGAAATTTTAATAATAATATTGAAGTAATACAAATTTTTTATTTCATTGACATTTTTATCAATGTTTAAGGAAGAAGAATAAGATTTTTTTGTGTGTGTTTGTTTATTAAAATATTGCACGGCATTCCGTTAGGGCTGTTTATTGTGACTTAGTATATTAATTAAGCGTTTGGTCTTGATTACGTTTGAGTAATGAAGGCAACATGATTGTGTAAAACGAGAAAGTAATTGTTTAATGTAGTGGTACTATTTATATAAAGTTATATTGTGCGTTTGAAGAAAAGGCGTCTAAAATGTTTCTAGTGCTATTTTGTAGGAATGGCGATCTAATATTGATTAATCGAAGAATTGATTTCTTTGATAAAAAAATGGATTTTTAATTCGATATATTATACCACGGAAGTGACAAATAAGTATACAGATACGGATATTACCTTTGAAAATCTAGATTCGATTTTTTGTGTATTGGTAGGGGCTATAAAATTATTTACAATTACTTGAATATACCTAAATACATGTAAATTTATTATTACCAATTTTGTGGTATTAATGTCTTTTTTATATCAGATATTTGAATATATAGGTATAAAAAACATTATTAAAAATGATTTTGATTCGACAATTGGATTAAAAGAAGAAAGATTTATATTAAAGACACTAATTCGGAAAATCGATTATCAAAAATCAATTATCAGATTTAATTTGAATCGATTTAAAAATCGATCTTTTTTCTTTTGAAAAGGATCATCATCCTATTACATTGTATCGTAGTTTTGTCTTGATTAATAAACGAATAGTCTATTAGTGTTCAGAAATAGATGTATGTAAGCACTCATACATGTGCATAATATCTAACCAAAACTATAATATAATTGAACTTCTTGACCTTTACTTATTGTTAATTACACAAATCATTTTAGGTACTCGACGTGGGGATGTGTTCACAACGAATTACATTACGTTAATACTTTTAAAATGTATATAAATTACTCGTAATTGAATCAACTATACAATCATATATGACATTCTAATTTTGTTTTAATTAATATACCCACTCATATTAATTATCATATCCAATTTATTATAGATATATCTTGAAGTAAGTCACGAGTAATCATTTAATTTAATTTATCCAGACGAGAGGCGGCCGGCATGGTGGATGGGTCGTTGAGCTCACTTGAATATTCTTGAACACAACTATAGCAGGCTTATTCGTTATAATCGAGAACAGGAGTTTTTTTTGTAAAGAGTGGTCTGTTGAAGAATACTACGATAGTTTTTATTACTATAAAGTTTGTGACAGTAATTGTATTCATTTATATTTTTATTGCAAACTCAATTTTTGTTTGAATATAGCAACAATTGAGTTTCATGCTTGTTTTTCTTAGTTGGAACTGTATTACGAACTGAAATGACTTAAAAAAATGAATATTGAAAATGCTTATAATGAAGTTTACCTAAATAAAAAAATATTTTTATTTATTTATTTATTTTATTTATTTATTCATTAGTACAAATATGTGTAGCTTGAGATAAGTAAATGATATAATTTAGGACAATCGAATAATATTATACGTAACAGTATGAGATGTATTAGGACGAATATAGAACCAGTGTGATAGCTCTATTACATTGATCTACGTACCTTACAATGTACGTACGTTTACATGTTCAATGGCCAGTCAGTCGACCATAGATGTTCATTATGTAGTCCCTTATCGCTGTCTAGTGAGAGTAGTCGTATTTAGGTATATTTAGACAACAATTTATAAATAGAAATGATTCAGATGATATTACTATCAGTCACTTGTTTACTAATACTCAGTGGTGAAGTTTATGGTGCTCCAAAGAAGAGGAAAACTTATTCGGAATTAAAGTCTTGTGATCTCGGTAACTTGGCAGAGGAGATTGCTTCATACGATACCGTTGTGAAGGACATAATAGATTACGCCGTGACCGGACCATTCAAAGGGAAGACCTACAATGAGTAAGTACTGTATGAAATTAATCAAAATGATATAATACATTTCTGTAGTATGGTTTCAGCTAATATAAAGCAAAATTTCGCAACTAATTTATCAACGCACAGGACTATTGGGTTTAGATATTTGTAGTTTTGTACGCAGATTGTATTATCTAGTATCGGTAGATATATACCTACTATTATTTAAATTACTACTATTAGAATATTGTATACTAATACATAATTAAGTTTATGAAAAATGGTTTTTTTATTGGATAATAATAGAATGGTAGCCCCGCTTGCATTAGTGGCAAACGGTGGCAGGGCACCAGTGATGATAGGTGAGAATGGAAAGGCAGGTCAGTTAGGCCATCGTAATGAATACTCCTGGAATTCAGTATGATGGTTTCTAGGGGACCACGTGGAGGTCGACCTGACAGCAATAGGACTGGTAGTCCGCGTTATTAACAATCCCTTCTCCTCTGGAAGACATAGGTTAACAAACCTATGTCTTTCAAAATGGGTATGGAGGCTTATATAGTTTATTTGAAATGTTTATAGTTACTCAATTCAAATGGCGTACTCGTGTAATTGAAAGTATACTATGTTTTAAATATTGCTATAATTTTTCTGCTAAGTACTCCGAAGAGATGTTTTCAGTTTTATGAACATTACTTAGTTCTATGATTGTTCTACTCTTTCTGTCATATCATGTATGGTGTATCTATTTACACGTATATTACAATATCTATCTGTAAACTAAGTTCCTTGTTATTTGTTATTATTAATAATATTAATTATAATAATAATAAATATATTATCGGGAAACTGTAGTAATCAAGTAGTCTGTTTATATAAACTTCATTTTTGTTTTTTTTTTTTTGCCTTTTTAATTTGCAAACTGACAGTCTATTGCACAAATTGGCGAAGTTTGCTTATGTAAAATGACCAAAGGCCTTCGATGAACATTCCTAACAATACAATTAAGTATTTTTTTTCGGATATGTAGTCATTTATGGTATATTTCGTAAAATATATACTTACTTTTTGTAGATTGGCTAAATTTGTGGACAAGTTTGGTCCACGCCCTTCAGGATCTCAGGTTCTTGAGGATTCCATCGATTACATGATCGAATTAACCCGCGAGGAAGATATAAAGGATATAATAACAGAAGAAGTCAAGGTAATTTAATAATTAGATTACCTATTTATATTAATTAGGGTTCCATAACAAAATAATAAAGTGAAAACTTTAGGGTGACTTTGTTAAACCGTTCTTCTGTCTGTCATAGTATATAAGTATGTAGTATATCTGTATCTGCTTTATTACCGCATCTACAAATGTTATCTATTTGAAGTTTATAAATATTGCAAAAGATTTTTTTTAAATTTTTTTTTTAGGATGTCCAAAATTTCAAATTGATCCCACTAGACCAAATAGGATTATATAAAAGGAATTGATTTGTACATTCTAAAACTTAATTTTAAATTATTTTCATGCTGTGTAGTTTTTGAGTTGTAATCGAAAACTTGACAATTACCATTCCCCCTATTTCTGAAATTTGGGAGGAAAAATTCAGAGAAAAACAGTTTATAAAGATATTACAGAAAAAATAAAATAATGTTTCCAACTAGCACAGTTTTAAGAAATTATCAAAATACTTTCAAAATATTTTTTTTTATACAACTTAGAATGGCAAACAAGCTGACGGCCCACCTGATGGAAAGTGGTAACCGTCGCCTATAGACATGAGCAGTACCGTGGACATAACAGACTGTACTGTTTCGCCCATGATACCCTCCATGCGTTGCCATTCCTGAGGACTCAGATGTTATTCCTCCGTACCCAGTAAATTTACGCCATATCTCTTTACCCTTCAAACCGAAACACAGCCATGCAAATACAACTGCTTCACGGTTGAAACACGAATGGGACAGAGGTACCCAAGCAATCGACGTTTGTACAAAGTCTCCCTCTGGTTACCAGATTTTTACAAAAAAAAAAATCTAAAATGCAGTATGAATAATGATGATTGTTAGGTGTCTATTTCAAGTAACAAACATAATACACATATTTCTATATGAGATAATTTTATCTCATATTTATACACGGAACTTTGCCGTAAAAGTTTACATCTGATCGGTTTTTTTTTATATCATGACAATATTAAATATAAGACAACTGCTAATGTTTTTTTTGTTTGTTGGTTTTTTTCGTTTTTCATTCTTTTATCTTTTTTACTGTGTATTATGTATATGTTTGTATTGTAATTTGCGTGCTGTAAGTAATGCAAATAAATTATCTATCTATCCATGTAATGAAATAATTGAATATCAATTATTTATATAAAGTCACTCTAAAGTATTATTTATATTTTTTACAAATAAATATACTATACTTAATTATAATTAATTGAATTTCCATAGTTTTGAATTTCTTAAAAATGTATAAATTAAACAATTTTTTTACATTAAAACAAATATATTATAACAAAAATATAAAACATTACAGGTTCCTCACTGGTCGAGAGGAGAGGAGAAACTAACAATGCTTGAACCAAGAGTAAAAGATATTGCTCTGCTAGGACTAGGAATGAGTGTATCCACTCCACCTGATGGAATTACAGCTGAAGTAATAGTTATAAGAAATTTCACTGAATTAGAAAATATTGGCGAAAATAATATCAAAGGAAAAATTGTTTTGTATGATCCTGTTTTCATTACGTATGGTAAAACTGTAGCATATAGATCTCAAGGAGCATCTAAAGCAGCAGCAAAAGGCGCTATTGCTTCTTTAGTTCGTTCTATTGCTCCATTTTCTATTAATTCACCACATACTGGAATGCAAACATATGAGAAAAACGTTACAAAAATTCCAACCGCTGCCATAACACTTGAAGACGCTGATTTAATTAGAAGAATTATTACACGAGGAGAAAAGGTTGTTTTAAAACTCGAAATGACATCGTCCTATGATGATAAAGTATCACGAAATACTATAATTGATTTAAAAGGTCGAGAAAGATCTGACAGTCTTGTAATAGTTTCAGGACATATTGATAGTTGGGATGTTGGTCAAGGCGCTATGGATGATGGAGGTGGTTTGTTTATAAGTTGGGCGGTCCCAGTAATTCTCCAACGTTTAAGTTTACGTCCAAAAAGAACTGTAAGAACAATATTTTGGACTGCAGAAGAAGTAGGATTAGTTGGTGCATATGCTTATGAAAAACAACATAGAAACGAAAGTAATAATATTAATTTTATAATGGAATCTGATGAAGGCACATTTGCCCCTCTCGGTTTGGCGGTAGGGGGTAATCAGGAAGCTCGGTGCATTATTGCCGAAATTCTAAAATTATTCCAATCTATCAATGCTTCCACTTTAATAGAAGAAGATAGCCCAGGTTCTGATATAACTGTTATAACAAGTAAAGGAGTTCCAGGAGCCAGTCTATATAATGATAATTCGGAATATTTTTGGTTTCATCATACTGAAGGAGACACTATGAATGTTGAAGATGAACAGGAGCTTGATCAAGGAACCGCTTTCTGGACTGCAGTTGCTTACATAATAGCAGATATTTCTGTCGATATACCTCGATGATTTTTGTACACCTATAAAATAATATTTATTAATCTATAGTTTTTAATCTTAGTAATATCCAATGTATAATTAGAATAATTTCATTAATTAAATTAAATGAAATACATATCACTAAATATGTATGTAACAAAGTATTACTTGTTTTATAGAGTAAAATAATTCGTGAAATGTAATATGATTGCATATAAGTACATAAATTTATAATTTATTTCATTATTTTATAAATCATAAAGGTTATTATTGAATAATGTAGCCAAATCAGTACACACCCGTACTGTGTTCCGAAGCGAGTCACGGCACTATTGATCCCCTTGTAACTTCATTATGGATAAAACAAGAAGTGAATTTTTAGTGATCAAGTGAACACATTATAACTGGTTACATTGCCAATATACCTAATTACATAATACCTAATTATTGCTAGTCAAAGTTCTTTTACTAGGTGTTTTTACTAGGAATTTTTTACATTTTATATTTTTCATGAGATAAATAACATCAATCACAATTACGCTATTGACGTTCCACATACTGGAAATGTTTGGATATTCGTTAGTCTGGTTTAAACAGCTGACGAGATTTGAATGAAAATTCTTGGTCACGTGATTGCGGTTAAAAATAGTGTAACATAAATAAATGTTCTAATTTTTCTTCGATTAAGACCAAGATGCAAATATATTGTGATTTCTAGTTTGGTTCACTAAACAGCTACAACAGGTATTATTAGAAAAATACTTGTAACATACTCTTTCACAAAAAAGGTGTTATAATAAATACTTAACCCGTTTCGCCGGTTAGTTTAGTTCTTTCCCGTACATTCAACTACAATAGCGTTACAAATTTAATTGTTTAAAGTCGGACAATGGAACAAATTAACTAGTTATGAAACTTTTTTGTTTTGTATTATAAAATACCGGACCAAGCGGCATATGAAACTGAATCTATACTACGTAGGTATGTAGTTATGTACTGTATGATATATCCATGTTATTAAAAAATATCATGACACTCAATATGCTTAAAAATAATGGTAACATTGATGGTGTAATTGCTTCCACAACTTTACTTTCAGATGGTCGCAGGTTTGGATCCCATACAGTTCAAAAATATATAACATGACTATCCATATTAATTTAATATATTTTAATTATGAAAAACATAAATATTTTTATCAGTTATCTAGTATTGATTGTACAAGCTTCACCTTGTTTAAAATCATATCATCAACATCATCATATCAGTTTTTAACTGTCCACTGCTGAACTTGGGAGGTTTTGCCAGTAGTTGCCACGCTTGGCAGGCGGATTGAAAAAATGCAGGCCTTAGAGATGTTTTAAGAGGGACGCTGCTATCCATCCCCCGCCCTCCCCTTAGTCGATTCTTACGACACCCACAGGAAAGGAAGGGGTGGTCTATTCTATACTGAGACCACACGGCAGTTGAGATTATATCGGTGAGCATATATAAAATTAAATACATTCGAACATAGAACTTCCTTTTTTAAAAGTCGGTTAAAATCATTAATTGTGTTTACTTTTATTACAGACTAATAAAATCCGTAATATAGATATATTATATATGAAATAGCGACTATTAAAAAGGAAGTTCCCGACTTGATATTTACGTAAAAAGCTATTACGTAGAATCGCTAAAGTTTTACAACTTGATAAGACGTGTAGTCCATTCAAAGTACAGTTTCAAGGGTCCCTGAGTATTACATGTCTATCAAATATCGTCTGGATAAATGAATATAGACATTTTCGACAGCTGATAATCTTTCACGCAATTGATAAGATATTTTTTTGATTTAAAAATGCAAAATTATGTTGGTACATCTCAGTATATGCAAGAAGAGTAATAATGAATACCTATTACGTTTGTGCATTGAAAATACTCTTTATTTTAAGTTTTAGTCAAGCAAATGTCATAAAACAGAATGCCGATTCATGCCAACAAATATTGGGGGATGACGTGATAAGGGAAATCTGGTCTTATGAAAATGTAAAGGACGAAATATTACGATATGTCACAGAAGGAGATTTTAAGGGGAAAACGTATGACGAGTGAGTAAACATTGAATAGTTATTAAGTTATTATGTTTAAATTAATTTAATTCTAATAATATGAAGATAAAATATTTGACTTATTGTTTTTAATGGATAAATTAAAGAAAATACTTAACCAATTTTTTTTCATATTTACTAAGGTATCAACCAACAACATGGATTGTATTTTATTTTCATAAAATTTAGAGATCGTCTACCTATTCTTCTTAGTGACTTAGGCATGTAATTCAGGGCGGATCGCCAGTTACTTATAAATTCATTAATGATCCAATTTATTAACTAGATCAGAATTCGTTTATTATCTTATATGTGTTTGGCAGTAAAAGTAATAAGTGGACATAGCTAGTTAAAAATACTGTTTTTATTATAATATTTATGAAAACTACACAAATTTTATTTTAGAATAGAATATAAAGTATTTATTGCCAGAAAAACGCGTAGTTACGACAGAAAATACAGAAATTTTATATATAAGAAGCGTCTCATATTAGGTAATAGAAACTAGCTCAGCTGATGTTGTGATTTCCCATTGCAATGTATACAGCTGCACATAGCTAGTTTTTAGGTTTTAGTTTGGTTTAGAGATTTATTTAATTAAGCTGAAACAATTTAACGCTTGAAGCATTCCATAATTATTTGGTAGTATAAATAATTTACATAAAAATTATTATTATTGTTTTTAGATTGGCTAAGTTTGTGGATAAGTTTGGTGCCCGACCATCAGGAACAGAAGTGCTTGAGAATTCTATCGATTACATAATTGACTTGACACGTGCCGAAAATATAAATGATATTGTAACAGAAGAATTAGAGGTAAATAATTTCAATTAGTTGTGCAATATAAATTTTTTTTAATGCAAATTAAGTTATTAATTCATTTTTTTAAATTATAAGGTTCCTCACTGGACTAGAGGAGAAGAAAGAATTACCATGTTACAACCGAGAGTGAAAAATTTAGCAGTATTAGGGCTGGGCCGTAGTGTGAGTACACCACCGGAAGGTATAACTGCTGAAGTAATATTAATAAATGATTTCGCTCAATTAGAAAGTAGTAAGGAAGAGGACATTAGGGGAAAAATTGTTATCTATAATCCTGTTTTTACAACATATAGTGATACTGTAGCATATAGGACACAAGGTGCAACTAGAGCATCAGCTAAAGGCGCTATAGCTTCATTGGTTCGTTCAGTTGGACCATTTTCTATTGATTCGCCACATACTGGTTTACAAACATATGGTGAAAATGTAACTCAAATTCCAACAGCTGCTATAACACTTGAAGATACAGATTTAATAAAACGAATAATTGATCGAGGAGAAAAAGTAATTTTAAAAATTGAAATGACATCTTCTCTCGATACTAAAATATCAAGAAATACTATTGTCGATCTCAAGGGAACGGAGAAACCGGATAGCCTCGTAATAGTATCAGGTCATATTGACAGTTGGGATGTTGGCCAAGGCGCCATGGATGACGGTGGCGGATTATTTATAAGTTGGGCAGCTCCTGTAATTCTCAAACGTTTAAATTTGCAACCAAGAAGAACAATACGGTCAATATTTTGGACGGCAGAGGAATTTGCTTATGTGGGAGCTTATGATTATGAGAAAAGACATCTAGATGAACTTCAGAATATAAATTTCATAATGGAGTCTGATGAGGGTACATTTGCTCCTCTTGGTTTAGCAGTAGGAGGTAACCAGGAAGCTCGATGCATCATTGCAGAGATTTTGAAATTATTTGAATCGATTAATGCTACTACTTTAATAGAAGATGATAGTCCGGGTTCTGATATAGCTATTATTACAAAACATGGTATTCCAGGAGCTAGTCTTTATAATGACAATGAAAGATATTTTTGGTTCCATCACACCGAAGGAGACACTATGAATGTAGAAGATGAGCGTGATCTTGATCTTGGGACTGCATTATGGACTGCCGTTGCCTATATAGTTGCTGATATTTCTTTCGATATACCTCGATAATAAATTCCTATTAATTGAATAATTTTTCACGACACTTAAATATTTAAGTTACCTTTGAATATTAATAAATTCTTTCATTATTTATAATAGATTAGATTTATAAAATAGACTTATAGAATGATAGTAATAAATTATTTGCAAGAACTTAATAAATGGTGTTTTCTTCATACATCTAAGCCGTTTATTAGATTGTTATATATTGGTAATATTATTTTTACTTACAAGCAACATAATAATTGTAATACGTTAATTGCTTGCAGGCAAAAAGAATATTGTTAATTCAAACAATAGGTCAGCAAAGAGCAAATGATAATAACAATTCTAAAAAGTAATTAATATTTATAACAGTATAAATATTAATGAGGAAAGGGAAGACCGAGAAATAACTACATGGGATAGATATAAGAAACATTAGGCACCATATCGTATAGGAGGATCAAATAATAAATCACAGAATAAAATAAATAAAAGCTTGGAATAGACCTGACTGGAAGAGAACACATGCGTCAGTTGCTCCAAAAAGGGGGAAATCATATATACAAAAAAAAAAAAAAAATTTTTAGAATCATAAAAAGTAATACTTTGACCATTTTTTCTTCAAGATTCTTCTTTTGAACATCTCTTTAATATTACCTTCTTAATTAGTTATTCAGTTTGGCAACATTTTTGTTACTGGTATTGCAACTTCTATTATTAAGATTATTTAGATAGATTGTATCTATGAGAATTACAAACAAAATATGACTATATTACTATAATAGAGAAAGTATTTTAAATAAAATAATTTTAATGTACTTAACTAAAAATTTAATCAAATGCAAATGATAAAACACTATTTAATTTATGTCGAAACAAAACAAATCAATGCAAACCGTTTTGTAGCTAAAGTTATTTTCGCTCGATCATTTTTATCATTATGTTATTATATTATCTAGTAGTATTGATGATAGAAGCATAGGAATGTGTATATTACTTATCAAAGAAAATATTTATCAAATCGCTGAGAGGTTAGGACGCAATCAATCATGCTCATTTCGCGTAGATACATCCACTTTAAAGTCTGAAGTTGATATATAAGCATCATTTCAATTAGATACTTCAATGTGGGTTAGTTGGTACACAGGCAGGTGGCAGACAGATTCTTGCCAGATTTGGTAGTTTACAGACACATGGTTGCCAAATAGGCGGTTGCTATACAGGCAGGCGCCGGACAGGTTGCTACCAGACAGGTGGGTGCTATATAGGTAGTTGCTACATAAATGACTGCAACACAGGTAGATGCCACTGAGTTAGGTATTTCTTGATTAAACATTTTTTTGAGATAAGTTGGGTCATCTAGCCATGTGTATCATATGTTCATACATATGTGTGCCAGTATAACTAAATGATTCAGTTATTTTAATATTTCATGAGTATACAATAGTTCTTTTTTATACAACTTAGAATGGCAAACAAGCTGACGGCCTACCTGATGGAAAGTGGTAACCGTCGCCTATAGACATGAGCAGTACCATGGACATAACAGAGTATACTGTTTCGCCCATGATACCCCCCATGCGTTGCCATTCCTGAGGACTCAGGTGTTATTCCTCCGTATCCAGTAAATTCACGCCATATCCCACCCTTGAAACCGAAACACAGCCATGCAAACACAACTGCTTCACGGTAGAAACACGAATGGGACAGAGGTACTCAAGCAATCGACTTTTGTACAAAGTCTCCCTTACACAGACACAACGTCCATCTTATTTTTCTTTTGCCCTTTTTCCATGCCTATTTAGGATTCCCATAATGTTTTCTGCTTCCATGACATATCTCCATACTGCAGTTTACTCTATACTGACTGTGAGTTCAAGAATAAGAATTTACTAAAAACCCCTTTTAATTATATCTAGTATAGAAGTAAGCTTGTGTATATTTTTATACTAATATTATAAAGAGGAAATGGATTGTTCGTTTGCAATAAATAAACCCTAAAAATAATCAATTGATTTTAAAAAAAATTGTCACCTGTAGAAAGTTATATTATCGGTGAGTAACATAGGGTGTATAGGTTTTTCTATCTATCTGCATCGAGCAGGGTTGGCTTTCTAGTGTATATGCAAAAGAAGATATTATAATAATACCAATAAATATATTTGACGACATCTCTGGTACAGTGGTATGTTGCTTTGCGTAATTGAAGTTTTGAGTTTGGTCCTCTAACGAATCTAATCAACTTGACTTAATTGAAGTAGGTTTATATATTTTGGATTGTATTTCCAGATATTTGTCGTGAAAAAAATCTTGTGAATGTGAGTTAATAGACGATTAAAACATTTCAAAATTATATAAAACATTTAAAATGTATGTAATGGTCATAAGCGTTTGTGTGAAAAGTTAATATATTGCAATAAAATTTCTTTAGAACACAGAACTGAATTGCATAACGCAAACGTGTATATATATGTAGGTCGTCCGCTGACATAATGAGGAATTTTGTCCTCTACGCACGAAAAGTCCTTTGTTTGCGCACGCCCTTAGGGACTTGTGAAACGGTACTGACGGAGAGTGTTACATTTTTATCAAATATCGTGTGGATAACTTTTTATAGACATTTTCGACAGCTGACAATCTTTTACGTGCTTGATAAGATACTTTGATATATTAAAAGCAGAAAACGATATCGCTTCATCACAGTTGAGAAGAGGAGCAAAAATGAATATCTACAACATATGTGTACTGAAAATTCTTTTTTTTCTAAGTCTTAGTCAAGCTAATGTTATAAAGCAAGAATCCGATACATGCCAACAAATATTGGGGGATGAACTGATAAGAGAAATTAGTTCTTATGGAAATGTAAGAGACGAAATATTTAGATACGTTCTTGAAGGAGAATTTAAGGGGAAAACGTATGATGAGTGAGTAATAATTAAATTAATTTATAAATTTATTGTAACACAATTTTAATTATAAATACTCTTTTCTTTTATTTTTACATATTTTGTTTATTTATTTAATATATAATGTTATGTTACAAACGGAACGGAGCATTACGGCTTTACCGTGTACCGCTGTTATTGACATTAATATATTGTATGATATAGCTTAATTATATAGAGAAATCCTTACTATAATGTTGTAAACTGAATGCAAGTTGGTCTGTTTATTACCTTTTGGTGAGTTAACGGTTTAACCAATCACTATCAAATTTGGTATACAAAAGAAAGAACAAAGAACAAATTTCAGAGACAGGTCATGTCTGAGCTTAATAAAATAGTTGTCTATTTCAATAAGGCGTTACGTGGAAGAATTCATACGTATAACTACAATTTACGCGGTCAAGGCCGGTACGATGTATTTAAAAAAATAATTATGGTTAAGTGGTAATAGTTATTTCAGTAAATGCAAATGATCTATCTTTATTGCTTACAACGATTAATGTAAACAATAAAGGTAATTTGAATGATTCATAATTTACAAACGTGCATTTTTTTTATGCAGCTTAGAATGGAAAACAAGCTGATGTCTCACTTGATGAAAAGTGGTAACCGTCGTCTATAGACATGAGTAGTACCATGGACATATTAGAGTATATTTGAGGGGACGTAAGTTCCACGTAGTTCACTCTGGAAACCATTGTGACTAATACTTGTTGCATTCGTCACGCTGGGCTAACGTTGCCTGCTTTCACGCTCATCTATCATTTCTCACGGGTGCCCCGCCAGTGTATACTGATAGCGCAGGCGAGGTTACCATTCCATTATCATCCATTAAAAAAAACAGAGTATACTGTTTCGCTCATGATACCCCCCATGCGTTGCTATTCCTGAGGACTCAGGTATTATTCCTCTGCACCCTGTAAATTCACTGCCATATCCTATCTGTAACAGACCGTTGTTGGAAAATGTTTTTTGGTAGTTATCAAAATGAAACGGACACTGGCAAGACACTATTTTTAATCAATTCACAAAACAACTAACAACAACTAACTACTAACAACTCGTGCACACACGTGCCACAGGGCATACGTTCGGCGCATGCGCGCCGGCATTAATTCAATCAAATACTAACAGATGGCGCTAGTGGTTACAATTATAACATTTACGAGGTGCGAGGTGCGTCGCTTACACCACCCTTCAAACCGAAACACAGCTATGCAAATTCAATTTGAAAAAAGAAATTTCCCGGTAGAAACACGAATGGGACAAAGGTGCTCAAGCAAATTACTTTTGTACAAGGTCTCCCTCTGGTAAATTTATTTATTGTTCATTTATTTATTTTCTTATATTTCCTATTTATATATTTATTAGCAAATTAAATAAGTTATAAGCAATTGTATAAATAACTTGTCCTGCGATTGACTACAAACAAAAGTAAATAACAACAATTTATGAAAAAAGTGAAAATGTATTAAATACCTATAAAACATTCTAGTACAAAAGAAATATTTTACGTTAATAGCATACATTTCATTTAAATATGGCGAATGTTAGAAGTTTTTAAACGAGTTGGAGTCGACTTTAGATTTATGTTGCAATTACACAGGTTACTGAAAGAAATTTGCGCTTAAACATTCTTTTGGTAGTGGTCATTATTCATTTAATTTTTAATTTTTATGTTTTAGATTGGCTAAGTTCGTGGATAAGTTTGGTGCCCGTCCATCTGGTACTGAAGTACTTGAGAATTCTATTGATTACATGATTGAATTGACTCGTGCCGAAGATATAAATGATATTGTTACAGAAGAGTTAGAGGTATATAGTATAACTTTAATAAGTTGTGCAAAAGCAATTTAATCTTTTAATTGTGAAAAAGGTTATTAAACTACTTTTTAAATTTTAAGGTACCGCATTGGACTAGAGGGGAAGAAAGAGTAACCATGTTACAACCCCGAGTTAAAAATTTATCAGTATTAGGTTTGGGCCGTAGTGTGAGTACACCACCTGAAGGTATAACAGCAGAAGTGGTAATTGTGACTGATTTTGCTGAATTAGAAAATAGCCGGGAAGAAGACATTAAGGGTAAAATTGTGATATTCGATCCTGTTTATACTACATATGGTGAAACTTCTGTATATCGTTCACAAAGTGCCACTAGAGCATCAGCTAAAGGCGCTGTAGCATCACTAGTACGCTCAATTGCACCATTTTCTATCGATTCCCCACATACTGGTTCACAATCGTATGGTCAAAATGTAACACAAATTCCAACAGCAGCTATTACGCTTGAAGATGCAGATTTAATTAGACGAATAATAAATCGAGGTGAAAAAGTAATTTTGAAAATTGAAATGTCGTCTTCTTATGATACTAAAATATCAAGAAATACTATTGTTGATCTGAAAGGAAGAGAGAATCCTGATAGCCTTGTAATAGTATCAGGCCATATTGACAGTTGGGATGTTGGTCAGGGAGCTATGGATGATGGTGGCGGATTATTTGTCAGTTGGGCGGCTCCTGTAATTTTAAAGCGTTTAAATTTACAACCAAGAAGAACGGTACGATCAATATTTTGGACAGCAGAGGAATTTGGCTTGATTGGTGCTTATGCTTATGAGGAAAAACATCGAGATGAAAATCATAATATCAATTTCATAATGGAATCTGATGAGGGTACATTTGCTCCTCTTGGCTTGGCAGTAGCAGGGAACCAGGAAGCCCGATGTATTATTGCAGAAATTTTGAAATTATTTGAATCGATTAATGCTACTACTTTGGTAGAAGATGATAGTCCAGGTTCAGATATAGCTGTTATTACCAGAACTGGCATTCCAGGGGCTAGTCTTCATAATGATAATGAAAGATATTTTTGGTTCCATCACACCGCAGGAGATACAATGAATGTAGAGGATGAACGAGAACTTGATTTAGGATCAGCTTTTTGGACAACAGTTGCCTACATAATTGCTGATATTTCTGTCGATATTCCTCGATAATTATTTGTATAAAACAGTAAACAATTACTATTAATTGTATAATTATTGTTCTATAATATCTACACATATTCTGTAATAAATAATGCTATTGGTGTGTAATAGAAAATGCCATTATTTTTTTAAATAAAATAATAACATACTTGATTAGAACAAAAGTCAGTGAATAAAAATATCGCACCTTCATCTAAATTATTAATTTTTCATATAATTTGGAATGATATGTACCTGATAACAAATGGTATTTTTTCACCTATAAATATGGATAGCACCTAGAACATCGGAGAACACATCATTGTGGTCATGAATGTACTAAAACTACTATAACGACATATTATCTATTTAGTGATTTTGTTATATGGTAATAATAAAACAAAATTGTTAAAATATAACAAATTTGTGCTTTTTTGTCCAGAAATAATCGTAAAATTGTATTCTTATTATAAGACTTATTTATGTATTATAATTAAGTTTCGTATCGAAAATGATACGAAATCATTAAAGAAAGCATTATTCTACATTATGCATGAAATGTAAAGAAAAAAATTTAGACTTCTTTTACCTTAACAATATAAATTCATAATTGCACTATAATTTAAACCAATAAAATACTTTATTATTTTAGTGCAGTGTATAGATAAATAAATCAAGTAGAATTATACAATTCAGACATATGTTTAAAATTGATTAATATTGGTTAGAATTCATAAGGTACTGTAGATTTCGCTAGTGATAAAAAAGTTTTTAGTTTTAAGTACATGAATTATAATATATTTATTTACTCGGATAGTCCAGCAGCATTACTTACACTTGTCTTATACGAAATTAAATAAAAATTTACGAACAACTGCATAATGCTATTAAATAACTTGGGTAGCAGAAATAACATTATCTTGAGATGGATTCCTGGTCACTCAAACATTCATAGAAATGAAACAGCTGACCAATTAGCAAAGGAAGGGGCAAAGAATATCCAAATAGGATCAGAACCTTACTGTGACATACCTTGAAGCCTAACGCTCAGACAGCTTGAAATCTTAGAAGTAGCACATAATAGCTGGCTCTTGTTGCCAAGATTAAATAACTCGATAGCCCTAATTAAGAGGTTTTTAGAAAATTATTCTAATAAATTAATTCTAATGATTAAAAGTAAGAAATTTTTGAATAAAAGTATAAGTGTGTATTACATAATAATATGTGTTTCTGTATCTCACCAATGAGAGTCCTTTTTAATACACACATATTTATATATCCAAGATACTGTAAACTAAACAAACACATGACCCAACTGGGCTTATGACCAAAAAGTGTTTGCAAATCTTGTCACAGTGTGGAAGAAGCGCCTTACTTTATTTAATTTGTGGCACACTTAATTTGTGGCTGTACATAAACGATATATCTCCTTTGGAAAATACATTTTATATCCTGAAGAGATAAAAAACATCGCTATAAAAACATCTTAAAATTCCTATCACTGATAGAAATTAGCAGCGAACTTAAAAAAAGTGTGAGCATTAAAGATCATGGAAACTTCGTAGTGTCACAGGGTTTTTTGCCTGGCAAAAGCTCGTTATTTAATAATAATAATAAATAGTGTTAAAAGTATTTTCTAAGAGCAAAAAAAAAAAAACTGGGCGGAAAATTGAAATCATAAAGTGTGAACCCTTTATCTACGGTTCATTCTCTTTCGGGATTGCTGCCCTTGGAAGCGATAAACGCGATCGGAAATATTATAAAGATATCTGCTATGCGACAGCCAGAATAGAGGAAAATTTTCACTAAGCACCACATGCGATCCACCTTTCGATAACGGCCTTAAATTATGTTATCGTTACGAGGCGATTGAAATAAAAGTTTTAGCTTTCTAGGAAAACAGCTATTTGAGCATATAATGTTGGGAAAATTCTTTTATGATACAATATCTTAGGGTATTGTGTTTATCGTTCAGGAATAAAATTTAAGAACTGTTTTCATTAATATTAGTATATTTAATTTCGATGATATGACAATTTAATTTTGTTTTAATTTAAAATATCCAATAAAAACAGACATATAGTATATGACATTAAACATATATTATTATCCTTATTATTAATATATAATAATTAAATAATTAATATTATAAATATGAAAGCGAGTTTTTTTGTTTGCCACCTTAAAGTGCCTTAATGGTTTAACCAATCACTTTCTAATTTGCTATAAGAATATATGAGTACGTAGTATACGGGAAGAAGAAGAATATAGGCAATTTTTTTATTTTGGTCAGTAAACATACAGTACATAAACAGTTACGCAGACGAAGTAGTGGGTAAAAGCTAATATTATATATTTACGTATATAACATTTTTCAGTGAAATAATTTCTGTTAATAAAGGAAATAAAGGGAAAAAAACTCCACATGATTCAGCTTAGACAGATGTCGATTCTATTTACTTTAGAAAAAAAAGAATGCCCTTTTTTATGTTAAAGTTACTTTTTCTGTGATTTGTTTAGTTTATAAGATATACTTGCAACTATTGAAAACGAAATACTTAAAACATAAACATTCATACAGTTACTATTGCGCAATACGTGACGTGATTATAAATTGATAATATTTCTATAGTGAATGCAAAACATCATTTTCAGAATCGATCACATGTTATGTGTATAAATCGTTACAGACATTTTCGAGAGCTGACAATCTTCTATGTGATAAGATAATTTTGCCGTGTTAAAAGTGAAAAGCGATATCGTTAGATCTCAGTCCATGGGAAAACAGCAATAATGAATATCTACTACATTTGCCTGTTAAAAATACTCCTAATTATAAGTTTTAACCAAGCAAAAGTTATAGAAAAACAGTCTGATACATGTAGAGAAATATTGGGGGACGATCTGATAAGAGAAATTGGATCCTATGAAAATGTAAGGGACGAAATATTGAGATATGTTATAGAAGGAGATTTTAAGGGAAAAACGTACGACGAGTGAGTAACAATTTAATACAATTGCGTATTGTAATGTAATTGTAATAGTGATTTTTTTTTATCTTTATTTTGTGATTTTTTTGTTACTATGTATAATGATTCTGAATTAAATGTTAGATAGTCAAAGTAGCAAAATTGTGGAATTTTGTTACACTTTGAAGATAGGATACGATAACCTAATAGAATAATTATCATCTCAATAATCAGTAATGCGTTTCTGTGGAATATTACTAAATATTACAAATGTGAAGTTTTCTGAAGATGTTTGGATATTTATATGTTTGTTACTCAATCATACTAATAAAAATTTCGTACACGAATATACCATTTTCTGGATTAACATTTACCCTCATTTATGCGAGAAAAGGCGCGAAGTATAGCTAGTAATTTATGCATGAAAGAAATTAAATTATATTATTATTTACAGCCTGTTATGTAGTAAAATTAATGTTTCACGTTGTATATGACGTCAAATTTAAATTTATGTTGCAACTAGCAATTTCTCACAATATAGGTGATATAAGACTACAATGTTATAGAATAACGTTGTGATAATATTACCTGCAGTTTCGCCCACGCCTATACATTATCTCTGGTTCTCATGGGAATTTAGAGATATTCCTCTTTAGTGTTCAGTGCGCAGATCAGTCAGGACAGATTGTACAAATGACCGAAAAATTGGGATTAAATTACTTTATATTATTTTTGATGCCTATAAATTCCTTTAAGATCCGTTTTTAATTTTTAGATTGGCTAAGTTTGTGGACAAATTTGGTGCCCGTCCATCTGGATCTGAAGCTCTTGAAAATTCTATTGATTATATCATTGATATAACACGTGCGGAAGGTTTAAACGATGTTATTACAGAGGAGTTAGAGGTAAGTCGTGTAATTTTATTATATTATATGAAGTGAAGTTAACGTTTTTATAGAAAATTAAGTATATATTTTTTTATTTCAAGGTACCGCATTGGACTAGAGGAGAAGAAAGTATTACTATGTTGCAACCAAGAGTTAAAAATTTATCTGTATTAGGACTGGGTACTAGTGTGAGTACACCTCCTGAAGGTATAACCGCTGAAGTGGTAGTTATAAGTGATTTTGCTGAATTAGAAAATAGTCAGGAAGAGGATATCAAGGGTAAAATTGTTTTATATAATCCAATGTATACTTCATACGGAGCAACTACACCATATCGGACACAAGGTGCAACTAGAGCCGCAGCTAAAGGCGCTGTAGCCTCATTAGTACGTTCTCTTGGACCATTTTCTATTAATTCGCCTCATACTGGTGCACAAACATATGGCGAAAATGTAACTCAAATACCAACAGCTGCTATAACACTAGAAGATGCAGATTTAATTAGAAGAATAACTGCTCGAGGAGAAAAAGTCATTCTAAAAATCGAAATGTCATCTTCCTATGATACTAAAATATCAAGAAATACTATTGTTGATTTGAAAGGAAGAGAGAATCCTGAGAGCCTTGTAATAGTATCAGGCCATATTGACAGTTGGGATGTTGGTCAGGGGGCTATGGATGACGGTGGCGGAGTATTTATTAGTTGGGCGGCTCCTGTAATTCTCAAACGATTAAATTTACAACCAAGAAGAACTATTCGCTCAATATTTTGGACAGCAGAAGAAGTGGGATTGGTTGGCGCCTATGCTTATGAAGAAAAACATCGAGATGAAAATCACAATATAAATTTCATTATGGAATCTGACGTGGGTACATTTGCTCCTCTTGGCTTGTCAGTAGCAGCCAACCAAGAAGCCCGATGTATCATTGCTGAAATTTTGAAATTATTTGAATCGATTAATGCTTCTACTTTAGTAGAATCTAATAGCGCGGGTCCTGATATAGATGTTATTACAAATACTGGTATTCCAGGAGCTGGCCTTCACAATGACAATGCAAGATATTTTTGGTTTCACCACACTGAAGGCGATACTATGAATGTAGAGGATGAACATGAACTTGATTTAGGGGCTGCATTTTGGACGGCGGTTGCTTACATAATTGCCGATATTTCCGTCGACATACCGCGATAAATATTCTTTCATATTTATAATAAAATTATTATTGAAGATTTAAGTTATTTGTATGTTATACTTGAGTATTACTTCCAATTCTTTGCTTTTCTTCAAGTTATATTGCTTGTCATTAACTTTTTATTTGATTATTCTTGTATTGCTTCCTATGAGACTAAGAAGACAAAGCGTTAGTAATTTAATTTAATATTTTAGAAGGATGCCCAAAATTTTTAATTACTGCCAATTCTAAAGTTAAATAATCTACGTTTTATTGCAATATAGAATTAATTTTAAATTTCAGATTAACTTTAACATATTTTTTAAAAAAAACCTTATGAAATTCTTATAGAATATTTATTGCAAATGTCCTTATAATTAAATAATTGTTTTTTTTTTATAACTAATCTTACATCTTCATGATTTTGAAGATGAAACATTGGCGTAGTGATTTGAAATTCTTACACGAATAGGTACTTTATAGCCGGTTTATACATGGTGATGTTCTGTATCGTCAGCAACTCTTTTTATGTTAGTGATTTAATATACTGAAACATCTTTGTCTGCATTCAAAGCGTAGAAGAGTTTTTTATTTTATTTTTTTCAATTTTATTTGTCTGCACCACGTATAGCGGTTTAGCATCGTTTCAGTTCATCTAACACTGCTTGTGGCAATATTACGAAGACAAATCGCCAAAAGGTAAATCATTTCTCGAATTGTACCTCAACTTTAGATAGAACTAGTACAATTGGGGAAATTGGGTCAGGTTACAGCAAGGTTGATATATTATAAGATTGACTACGTTTATACACGAGGAAGACTCTACAAAATTTGTTTGCTTAGGTACCGCTGTTTCATTTGTGTTTCTGCTGTAAAATGGCTGTGCTTACATAGCTGTTTCGGTTTGAAGGGTATAATATAGCAGTGAAATTACAGGATACGGTGGCATAACACTCTAGTAATCAAATGGCAACGCATGAATGTCACAGGACCTATATTTTGTGAAGTCCATAGTGGTGTGCCGTGTATTCTCAGAATAGAATAGGCCATACCTTTCTTTCCCGTAGATGTTGTAAGTGGCGACTAATGGAGATGAATGGCCGAGGGAGGGGCGATAGCATTCCTCTTAAAACATCACTAAAAGCTGTGTTAACTGTGGTTGCCAACTCGCTTATCAAAGTAGTTGCCACTACTGGCCAATTCCCCTTATGAGGAAGACCAATGTTCAGTAGTAGATAGATATTCATTTTTTATCAGATAGGTCGCCAGCTTTTTTTCTATTGTCCAGTTGCAATTTCGCTGAGAAAAGTCTTTACAAATAAAGTATTATGCAAAATTTTCTATTCGTTTAATTTTAAAAAAAAATTTAACATAAAACTTGCCATTTAAATTCGTTCAGTTAAAACATTCAGTGTAAAGAGGTGATTGCCTTGTGACACGAGGCAATTACCTCTTAACGCTGAAATATTTCATTTTATTGTATTAACTTTACATATAACATTCAATGAATAATTTAATATCTTACATGTTAGGAAGAGGGTGAATATGACGGTAGCAACCAACTTCCCGCAAAACGTTCAAATTAATAGACCTTTATTTCAATCTAAATATTAGGAAGGAAGTATTTATTACGAAGTTAGTTTTCACAGTTACTTGTCTTTTGTAAATTGGTATTATCATAGACACAATAACAGTATAGCAAAGGTTATAGTACTGTTCATATCTATTTTAGACTTTTAGCACTTTCCATCAGATTCAGGCCATCAGGTTGTTTGTCATTCCAAGTAGCTTAATAAAAGTTTATAAGATCATGCATTGTATAAATATATTTTTTATTACCTAATTCTAGATCATTTTATTATATTACTATAATGGTAAGCAAACATATAGTCTGTCTGATGGTGAACAGTTATTACAAGTCTGCGAATGTCTAGACCACGATATGTGTCAACATGCGGTGGCGACTCTTATGGACTTTGATGAACTCTGACTTATGAAGTCAATAAGCTTTATAGCATACATTTAAAAGATTTACAATACGGATATTAAATTAATAATAATTATTGACTTTCTCTAAAATCTTACATTATAGTTCAGCATGGTATATGAGCGTGAGAATTACTGACAAACGCCCTTCTTATGGGGAAAGTCTATGCTCAGTAGTGGACATTTAACGGTTGATATAACCGAATAAATAGATGGTATATATTTTAGATAAGTTGATATAGGTAAAATTGTGTGAGACTGGATACCAAACTATGGTTGCAACCTTAGTCTCAGTATGCAGTATTCAACCCTCGAAATGAGCGATTTTACTACGTCAGCAGTAAGTTTTAGTTTAAAGCATAAAAAAACAGCAGATTAAGGTAATTTTGCATTACAATGTTACTGTAAGTACTTTGTGTAATGTAATTCACAGTTAAATATATATACACTTAATTGGATGTATGTTGGAGATGTGTATGAGAATATGTGTACCATATTTATAATAGACTGCGTGAGTGCGTGCAAGCGAGCGCACGTGTGCGCGTGTGCGTGTGTGTGCGTGTGCGCGTGTGCGTGTGTGTGCGTGTGCGTGTATGCGCGTTTGCGCGTTTGCGTGCGCGTGTGTGTGTGTATGTTTGTATACGTTTGGTATTCATATGTATAATTTTGTGTAAAATTGTAGAAACCGTATGTTATGAATAATAAAATATAATAATAAAAAATATAATCATATGTATAGAAAACTATATGGAATATACCATACAGTTGTAACAGTTTTTTGTTGTTTTTTTTTGCATTTACCAATAATACACATTTATGATAACATGGTGAAACTGATTATTTAAATGTCGTGGATTAACTTTCTAGTTATAGTAAACGTCCGTAACAACCTGATTAATCCAAGAAACGCCGAGAAGTGGTGGCACCGACAGTCAGTTGATATAATACAGATAGATTAGACAGAAAAGTAGCACTAAATAGTAATTTTACATCTATTATTTATTACTACATTAAAATATCAAAGAAAATAAATATTCAGAAGAATTTTTAATCCGAATTTATAATAAATACGTATAGGTATTTATAATCTAGTAGTTAAACTAATGGAATTCCACTAATGTCTTGTAATGATCGTACGTTAGTGTGATTTTTAGTCTTAACGGCCTCTTAAGACACCAACGTTTTAGGTGCATTTGTAAAACGGAACCGTAAGGTTTTTATTACAATACATTAGACATACAAGGGTGATACGTTTTGTAGCTAATGCCTTTGCAAACTTTATTCGTGCGCATAATGGGTACTACGCACGTAGTAGAAATGTGTAGCTGCAGGGGGGAAGGGATTGTTAGTGATGCAGATCCATTGCTAACAATATGCCCTATAAGGTCGACCTCTACGGAGTCCGCCCTGGAAATTATCGTGCTGAATTCCTGGTGTATTCATCATGCTGAGCTAACTGGTGGCCCGCCAGTGTATACCGTTAGCTTAGACAGGGTAAAAAAAAGTGTAGCTGCTCTGCAAATATCACTCACATTATCAAATATATAGGATAATAGTTAGTTTTCATTTCATTCTAAGTTTTTGAGTTAAAATTTTGTTTTACATTGTTTTTATAATTGTTATGATAAAATACCCGTATTGCAAGCAATGGGACCGCAGCTAGAAACTAATACGGAAATCTTTTCATCACGTCCATTGATATTCAGTTCTACGCCATTATGTTCAATTTTGAACAACATAGTTATTATACTTTTACAACATAGGCGATACTTCTTTAGGAATGTTGGTCACTTTTTGTAACAAGGGATATATTTTATCCAAATTTAACTCCACAAGTATCCGTAAAATAACTAATTATCAACAATAATTTTGTTTATTCCTATTTTGTGTGATATAATAAATGTTTATTGGAAGATATGCGATGTTATCAGTTACTTCATTCGCTCGGTTCACCGGAGCAGATAATATTGGATAGCTAAATTACGTTCAGCGTAACATCTTGACTCTTAATATAATATTCTTTCGTGATTGCTAAACGCAGTAATTTCATTATAAGCTCCTCTTAAGTTTAAAATTATGTATTTTATATGTAGAAGGAGAATAATGAAGTAAAAAAGTAGTGTATTATGTAACTAATTTCAGTATCTAACGATTTTGTTTATATAATTAAAGAAAATAAGTTCTGGGTATTTAATAATTTGTTATTCATATTTCTATAATTAATTACAATAGTGCATCAATGGTTTCAGTATATGGTACTTCTGTCAGTTAGTCAATGTTCCATACAGTCGCGTTAGTTATTTTACCAGAGGGAGACTTTGTACAAAAGTCGATTGCTTGGGTACCTCTGTCCCATTCGTGTTTCTACCGTGAAGCAGTTGTATTTGCATGGCTGTGTTTCGGTTTGAAGGGTGGGATATAGTGTTAATTCCTCTGTACCCTGTAAATTCACTGACATATGCCGTATCTCATATGTATCTTTATACATACAAACTGAATGAATTTACAGGGTACAGAGGAATAACACCTGAGTCCTCAGGAATGGGAACGCATGGGGGATATCATGGGCGAAACAGTATACTCTGTTATGTACATGGTACCGCTCCTGTCTATAGGCGACGGTTACAACTTTCCATCAGGTGGGCCGTCAGCTTGTTTGCCATTCTAAGTTGCATAAAAAAAGAATAGTTTAATGTAATAATGCAAGTAGCAGTTCAGTACGAGTACCTAGAGACACGGACTGAGTTTCAGTGTCGTACTTAGTTCTCAAATAAAATTACGTGTTCGCGTCGTCTATTCTCTGTGAATGGAATGGCAATGGAAGAGGATTTTTTAATGGGTGGTAATGGAATGGCTGTCCTGTGTGTACTATCAATATATGCGGGTACCAGTGGGAGATGATAGGTGAGAAATGAAAATCATCATGACAAATGCCATAAGTATTTACCACGATGGTTTCCAGAGGGAACCACATGGAAGTCGACCTGATAGGGGTATATTGCTAGCAATGGGGTTATTAGAGGTTATAACTAACAATTCTTTACTCCCTTATATATTTATATTTATACATGT